AAGTGGTGCTTTGGAGATTACAAAGAATCAACATGGGGAGAGACCTCACTCCAGTATCTTTTTCACACTGCACTTGAATGGGAGACAGTGAAGATCAGACATCTATCTGATCATTAGAGGCCTAGACTTTTAGAGCTTATCATAAGGAGGAAGATATCTGGAAACAACTACTGGAAGAAGTAATAAGGAACCACAGATTAACTTAAAATTGAAACTGTAGGCCACGGAATTGGCACACACAGAGTTTCTTTTAGCTTATTTGTCAACAAAGGAGTGGTAGCCATCAACATCATTGATCACAGAGGTGCCCATAAATATACCTTGGAGCTAATTAGGGGCTGGTGTACATCTTGCAGAGATGGCTCCTGTGCTGAGTTATTTTTAAAACTACATTACCACTTTCCTGTCCCAAAACTTAGGTATTGTGAGGCTGCTGGCAGAGGGCTAGAGAGAGGTATAAATAGGTATAGTTACAAGGACCAAACATGCCCATTTCCCCCATAAGCACTCCACTTTAATCCAGAGGTCAGATTTGTGATTAAATAGATAACACCCAGCACTGAAAAAGCTTAAAAATAACATTGCAGGAAGTCTTAAAATACCTAGCTTTGAGGATATTGGGCAGCCAGGATAAAATAGTAGGAAAAGGATAGAATACCCTCTTCGCTCCACCAAGAACACATGTGGCTGTAATAAGGCAACTGAGGCTGTAGGGCCCTAGACTGAGACAAGGAATTGGTCTTTATACCAATTAAGTGTCTGAGTGTCTGCTGGGTCTTTAAGCAGTATTTTAAAACTGAAATCATTAAATCTTTAGGAGATAAACATTATCCATTTGACAGGCAAGAAAACTGAGGCTCTGAGTGGTCAAATAATTTGTCTGAGTCACACAACTTGTAAATGGTAGAGTTGGTCAAGTCAGCCTGACCCCAAGCTCTTTCCACAGTACTGCAAGATAGAGAAACTGCACTGCAGTGGGTAGCCTGGAAGGACCCTGTGAACCTGAAACTAAGACCGAGGCACTCAAGTTTCCATCTTTCACAAGAGTTAAACCTTGCTGCAGCACAGCAAACCCTATAGCTGGCTCACAGGCTCCACTGCTAGCTGCTGCATCTGCTTTGAGAAAGGGCCAGCTTTGAGCCATTACCAATTACCTTACTACTACATCTAGCCAAGGAGAAGAAAGGAATATGGCAGAGAATTGTCTTTAAGGCAGGTTTTACCTGACTAAATCATAACCAGGGGATGAATCCAACTGCTTGTTCTTTCTCAACTCCCAGTAGAGTGGCAAGATAGTTTATCCAGCCCCATGGCCCTTAGTTTAGATACAGAGGTCACAGAGGCGTGAGATTCTGATAGGGAAGAAACCATCTTGCATACAGGATGTAGAACTAGTTTAGGTTGTCAAGAAAAGTGGCTATCTTTAGTGGCTATTTCTCAAAATGAGAAAGAACAAGTAGCTGGACTGATCCTCTGGTTATGATTTAGTCAGGCAAAACCTGACTTAGAGAGACAATTTTCTGCTAGATTCCTTTCTTCTCTTTGGTTAGAGGTAGGAGTCATCCTCGAGTCAGGGGCGTTTGGTCCCAAAGCATAGGATGCTGCCTTTCTGTGCTCTCCAGCTAGGGGCAGCACAGGGAGGGCTTGGGGAACCAAGAACCAGGCTTTATTTAGTTTCTCTGCCTTAAGCCTGTATGTCTCAACTCCCTAGAGGGATGGCTCCAAGAAAGCAGGTTCCTTATACACATAACAGGGTGGGCAGTGGGGGGAGGGTGACATTTATGATTGGAGTGATCCACCATGGGATAAGGGACTCAAGGCTAAGGCCGCCTACTGGTAAGCGCTTCAGCTTTTCATATCCTTGCACTACAGCGGGCTCTTTAGCCCGTTGCCCAGAAACGTCTCTCATCCCTGAATTCCTAGTTTACTGAAGCAAGGAATACTCTCAGCACCAGAATCCATTTTAAGAATATTTTATTTATCTTTTGAGATTACATATTCATTATTGCTGATCTAATACAATCACTTAGACATAAAGATTTCCAAGAGCCTCTCAGAAATGGCAATCATTAGAGGTTTTACTTCCTTTCAGTAAGATGACAATGAGAACTAGATGATTATTTATATATATATATGTATGTATATATAGTTTAGAACTTGTCCACATATAATTTGCTGGTGTTGCCTATTTTTTTCTATAATTTTCCTTTATTAAAAAAGCATAATGCAACAATGCATTTTGATTTTTTTTTTAAAACCATGACAAAGTTAATTTGGAGAAAACCACAGGAGCAGCAATTTCAAATCTGTTCAGAGAAAAGCCAAGCAGCAGAAAAGCTTTGTAGGAGCATGTGGCCATGGGGAGCCGTGCTCATATAGGAGGGGAGGATTAGGAGCCAGGAGGGCAGAGGCAAGGTAGACCAGATAACCTTATTATTACTTTTTTTAATGAGAAAAAGAAAATATTTCTATTAAGAAAGCAAAAAAAAAAAAAAATCATTGAAAATTAGCATAATTCATTGCAGAGAAAATGGTAAGACCTCACAGGCCAGGGCCACATATAAAGAGATCATTGGTCTTCTTTCCCAGGCTTCCAGATACCTAGAAATGCATTTAAGGTGAGAGCTTAAGATGCATCCAGATACCTAGGATGCATCTAAGTGAGGGAAGAAGACACTTTTGTTCTGATTACCTGGGCAGAAAGAATAATGACCGAATTCCAACACCAAAGTAGAACCCAAATACTCAGGAGGCCTGGACCTCCTTCTCATTAATGATTATGACACGGAGTCCCCAGAAAGAAAGGATGGTGATCACCTGAAACTCAGAGGCAAACACCTCACCATGGGCAGCAACATGGGCAACCTAATCTAGAAGCCCAGTGTGGCTCCTTTTTCATGTGGAATGGTCTCTTCACCATGGCAAGGTGGAGTATGCACTGACAGGATCAGCACATGCTTGTGGGTTCCACAGGCAGCTGCCAGGCTTTGCTGAGAAACAACAGGTTATGACTTTTGGCTTAGGAACATAATAGGATAGGGTCCAGATATCTGCCTAATGGAATCATCTCTGGATATAAGATGAGATACAAATCTCATCTTTTGAATCTTCTGCAATTAATCCAGTTAATTAATACAAAAGCCAGAACTGGGTAGGCAAAAGGAAGAACTGAATAGCCTAGTGGAATTTTCAACATTTATGATCTTCTCCATGAAAAAATATAGCCATGTATGTGGCATTTTTCCAGTACTTGCTAAGATATATGGCCTCTGAGGAACCAGATTCTATGGGTTGAGACTGTACTATTTAATGAGGCAAACAGCCATTTACCTAAGGTCCACCTTCCTACCTCCAAAAGGAAGGTCATTTCCAGACTAGCTCTGTGGCTATATGTGAAGACCAGGAGAAGTTAGAGAAGGTAGAAATCGGAGGGCAGAATTAGGTTGGGAAGGTTATGGTGATCCTGGGTGGTCTGGTGTTTCCTTGAGTCACCCTAGTCTTGAGACTTTGAGGCAGACCAGGATAAGGGAAAAAACAGAAAAACAAACAAAGAAAACAGAGAGTGTTAACAGGGTTGGCAGAGGGAAAAAGGACTGATTTCATTCCAGATACTAGGGCTACTCCAGACTTTACCTCTTGGAACCAATCTGGTCCCAGTGGAACCTTTCATGCTAACAGGAATTCAGCTCTTAGGTGGGACACAACACTTCAGGCTGCTCGTATTACATTTTTTTGTAATTTTGGAGTTTACTTAAGAAACTACCTCCAAAACACAGAATCCCAAGATCGAAATTTCGGCAGAACATAAAGCGATATCCCAGAAGAAAAGAAAGACCACAGACCAAATTGCAGAGATATTAGATCTCAGTTTCATCAATGGCAATGGCCAAAGGGATGAATATTTGATGAGGTTCAAATTAGTCAACCGAGCTGTGATCACATGGATTCAGTTTACAGTGTCTTCCCTGTGTAGCTTAGCCAGTTAAGCTTCAAAGCCCTTCCCAGGAGACAAATATATTCTGCTTCTTTAGGGTGCTGAGCTGTGGGCTGCATTTCTGAAGCCCTGCTCTCCCGGGTCCCTTGGAAAGTAAGCCACTTCCTGCTCAGCTTTAGAAGGAGTTTTAGGTAATTGAAGGAAGTTTCGGGAAGCAGTGTTTCACAACAAGCCTCCTTTTTTCTGAGATAGTGCCAACCTGGAGGGGGCCTCCTGGGAAACTATCCAGTTAAATGACAAGGAAGTAAAATTATGGGCCCCAGTCGGGCTGGCCCTCATTTCCTGAGCAGAGGCTAGGTGGGTTACAAAGATGGCAAAACAAATGTCTGACAAACATCAGAGCTGCTGAGGAAATAGTAGAGGCACACTCCTCTTGGAACCTGAAAGTGTTAAAACGGACATAAATATTCAAGGGGAAGAAAAGGAGTCCTGGGTAAGGAAGGAGACTCCCAGGAAGCACAGGCACAGCTGAGATCTCGGTGCAGTTTGCCAAAGACACAACACTCCTTCCTTCCCAGCCATTTTATAAAGAAGGCAGTGATAGAGAGAGTCAAGGCTGGGAACCCAGGCCGTGTTAACTCAATGGCTTCCTACAGGCCTCACCTGGGGAAGGGCCAAAGTGGAGAAAGGCAGCTGCTAAAAATTTATTCCAGAAAACCCAAGAAAACAAGGAGTCTGGAATCCACAGACGAACTCCTGAGCCTGGACTAGAGAACAATGACCAGTGCTGAGGATTCCGAGTCAGTGGGGAATGATGCAAAAGATGCACCGGGAACCCCATTTCCTTCCTTCCTTCCTCAGCCTGTCCCCTGCGGCTCTCACAGCCCTTGGGACAGCAACCACACTCTGGGCCGAGGAGACAGGCACAGGATTCTAGATTTTAATAAATAAATAACCTAACATAGAGGGCGAGCACGGCGGGCAGCTTATTGGAGAAGCAGTTTGCTGGGTTCTTTCCTGTATAGGAGTTCTATTCGTTAAAACTTCCGGCTTGAGTTACAGGAACTTAATACCTACAGGGAAAAAGAAAGATGAGACTGTTATCAGCTTGTGGGGATGCTGGGACATGAAGAGACTGCCTGAAGGCATAACGAGGAGGCAGGCACTTTTCTGGCATGTGTGGTGAGGGTAGATAAATGCAGTGCTTTTTCATATCAATGAAAAAGGCCAGTTTTTCTCTAGACAGGGGTAAATGTCATATCAAGAAGATGAAATGACAAATCAAGAAAGGGAACATTATTTCATGTTTGGACATGGCCTCAAAGAATCCTTTGGGGGTGGCAGTGGGGAGAGTGGGTTTATTTTTCTGAGTTCATGGAAACATGGTGATGGATGCCAAGACCAATTCCAGTGCAGGAAGCTCATGACTACCCAGGCTTCCCCACTTCTAGGGAGTTCAAGTACCTGTAGTAATTGGGCTTGAAGGGCCCATTTTTGTTGAGCCCCAGATACTTGGCCTGTTCATCTGTCAGCTCAGTCAGGTGGGCATCAAAGGTGGGCAGGTGTAGGCTGGCCACATACTCATCTGAAACAGATCACACAAGTCCCGGTATAAGCATTCATGCCTCTTGTCTGGCTGTTCTCTCCAGCCTTAAAAAGAGGAAAGTGTCAGTCGCTCAGTCGTATCTGGCTCTTTGCAACCCCATGGACTGTAGCCCGTCAGGCCCCTCTGTCCAGGGGATTCTCCAGGCAAGAACACTGGAGTGGATTGTCATTCCCTTCTCCAGGAGATCTTCCCAACCCAGGGATCAAATTTGGGCCTCCTGCATTGCAGGCAGATTCTTTACCATCTGAGCCAGAGAATGTCCCAAGATACCTTCTAATTCTTGGAGCTCAACTTTTGCTCACTGGACCCCAATTCTAAGGAATGGTTGCTTGAGCTTAAGCCCAGTGCTTTTCAAAGGCATAACATTTCTTCCTTACAAGCTATTTCAGCCTGGAACCTTTCCTTCTCCATAGAAAAGTGAGAGAGAAATGAAAGCGGCACATCAGCCTGAGAATGCAAAAGAAAGGATGGGAGAGTTGAGGGACTAAAAAACAGGAAGCTCCTACGTTAGTTCTGCCCTAAACTTTATACTCTGGGTCACTCAGGAAAACTGACACCTGTGGAGCTCTGAAAAGAGTGACTGAGAAGGATCCTACACTATTGGCTTTGCTTTCAGTCCCCCTAGTTCTTAGGGGTTTCTATTTATATTCTCTTACCTAAATACATATTACTTTTTCAGAATTTTGTGTCACTTCCTATGTATTGGTTTGGTCTCCCTAACTTCATTAAACATTCAGTTATGGACAATTAGACTTTTTTATATTCATCCAAAGTGTCTATTAAAGGGAGAATATATCAACTGCTCACAGTTGCTGTGCATCTAATCCTGAAGCAAAACAAAACCAGAAGCTGATTTACTCCCCCGATCTTTGGTTTGGGAGTTTATAAACATACTCTATCAGTTCAGGCGCTTGAGGCAGTATTCTTTAAAAATTGAAGGCAGTTAAATGCTTCTCTTATATGAAACAGCCACATAATTAAACTCTTAACAGAAGCTGTCCAGAGTCTTTCCTTTGGCCTGAAATAACAGGGTCAGAGTTAGGAGGTGGGAGTAGAAAAGTTTGGTAGGGGCTATTCAGTAGCCTAGAACTGGAGTAAGTCAGATGTCACAAGATTTTCCTCTCTCTTGGGGGGGAGATTTTTTTTCCTTTGAGATTCTTTTCTTGTATAATAGATACTTTGGGAAAGTCCTGAAAATTCATAGACAGGTAAACTAAATCACAGCAAAATGTCCTGACTTCATCAGGGCAACCTATTTGGAAAATGTGATGAATCAACTGGGGATGGAGTTTAGCTCCTACTTTACAAGATGAAAATATCCTTTTTTTATTCCTAAGAAATATAATGTCCCCCAACTTCACTTAGTCTCTGACTCTGAGCTACTTGGTAAGGAACAGGATTAAAAAGCTCATGCTTACCCATTTTCTTGGGCAACAGGTAGACATCTTGCTTATAGCGACCCTCAGGAGCATTGTAGAGCTCTATCAGGGCTAGAGCCTAGAAAAGCAGAGATGGATGCTGACAGGCCACTCACAGCAACCTACCCTGTATCAAGTGAAACCCTCATAGGCTAGGGCCCCTCTCCAGCCCACTGCTTCCCCACTCTGGAGACCTCACCTGAGTTGTAGCAGTGATTGAGAGCACAAATGTAGGCACTGTGGAGCAGCTTAGGTTCAGCAGACGGCCCTAGAGTGCAAGGGTTAACACACATAGAGGTTGGTTAGATGGAGTCTCTGACTTGGCGCAATGTGAGAAGAACATGACTGCCATTTTCCAAACACTTCTCAACTAAAATGCTGGACAAAAAGCAGTTGTTCAATCAGTGGAAATTAACCGATTGACCTTTGAGTGAAATGTTAAAAAGTTCCGGAAAATCTGATGAAGGTAACAAGATAAAAGATCTCTAGGTTTATGTAAAAAGGAATAGGAAAAAAAAATAGAGGTGGTCACTTGACACAGGCTTATGCCATGGAAGGGTATATTTCCCTTGAATTTTTACTTTCTATTACAGAATAGCTTCCTTCTGGGAAATTGCTATTCCTTTGAAAAAATGTCCTAAACAATGGTCTGGTCAAATTCAAGGGCAATCTCTCCAGGTTGTGATGGGAGATATTTTTTGCTTTAGGAAGCTGCGATAGTTTCTGTGCTTCTTCTTCAGCTGGTTCTCCTGAATTCAAGGGCAGTCATGTATTTCCAGTGGGTGATTCAGAGAGTTAGAAGGACTAGAACCTTACCCCAATGCCATCCTTTACTACTTTATTTCCTAGGAAGCTTGACCATAGTTTTTTGCTCGACCATAGTTTTTTGCTCAACCATAGTAGCCAAAAACAACTGTGGTGCTAGCTTTTGTCACCAAAATTACTAGATAGAACCTCTCAGGGCAACTAGAAATAAGTCACCAGACAGTGGGCTGACTTTAAAGCAGTCAGTGAATATTTAACAATGCCCATCTTCTCCCTGTACATCCTCTTGTACATACGTTATAGATGCCCTAAAGTATTTGAGAATGTGAGAAAAGGTGAAGAGAATAGGCAGAATACTCAAAAATTTAAAGGTCCTTAGATGAATACAGCATATATTTTACATTTTTATATTGTTTCTTTAATTAAGAAATAAGACTGAAGATCAAAACTAGGAAAGTATTAGTATTCTCCTTGTAACCTTGGTATCTTTCCCTGAAGAAGAGAAAAGTGTCAAGGTAAAAACAGGGGACATTGTTACAGCTGTCAAAAATCTAGGATAGGGAAGAGAAACTGTCAAGAAAGGAAACGTGGCCAAACACTGACATGGAAGTCTAAATGGAATGAAAAGGCAGGACTTCCCTGGTGGCCTTACAGTTGACTACACTTCCAACACAAGGGTTGCCGGTTTGATCACATGCCATGAGGTATGGCCAGAAAAAAAAAAGGAATCGAAGACAAGAGGAAGGCTGAACTAAAAGTCATGAGAGTGAAAGTGAAAGTCACTCAGTCATGTCCAACTCTTTGCGACCCCATGGATTATATAGTCCATGAAATTCTCCAGACCAGAATACTGGAGTGGGTAGCCTTTCCCTTCTCCAAAGGATCTTCCCAACCCAGGGATCAAACCCAGGTATTCTGCATTGTGGGCAGATTCTTTACCAGCTGAGCCACCAGGGAAGCCCAGAAAAAGTCATAGGGAATGATCAATCACACAACCAATACATAACTGGCTGGCTCAACTTAGGGGAATGGACACTCAGAAACAAGGGATCTATTAGCAAAGACATGACCTTCCCAGAGTTTGCTTAAGACTGTCTCAGTTACAGTCAGGAATATCTACTTTGTGCCTACTGATTAAACCATCCCACAAATGACATCATCTCCTTGTAAGCATCACTCAAAGTGTCAATGGTTCTACCCGTTAATTCCTTCTACAGTAATGTCATTGTCTGACTCAACCTGTAGAGTGACATGGAGAGACAGCATAATTGGTGAAAAGTGGGGAACCAAAATAGTTTTCTTAATTGCTGAATGAAAAGACCTTTCACAATTAGATATAAAATCCATTTGGTAAAGTAGTTAAGCCTCTTCTTAAGTGGAGTTGAAAGTGTGAGAGAACATGAGGGGGAGGAGACCTGGGTACTGCAGTTTCTCCTGCCAGGGGTGAATCTCTCTACCAGCCACAGATCTTACCTCTGCCAACAATACTATCCTCTTGCCGTCAGGCCATATTACATGGTCAACTTGGGATCTCACTCGCTCCCATGTCAGTTCTGGTGTCCGCAGGCTCGCCTGGAATACAGCAAGCACATCATTAGCTGTGCCATGTCCCACTTTTTGGATGGAAAGATGTTGAAGGGAGTCATTTCAAATAGCAAGTTGAAAGAAGCAACCAACATGCCAGATGGAGAATACCTGTCTTGGGTTGTTTAAGACTGTTCCATTTCAGGGGACTTAATCTTAGGCCCAGCCAAGGGAGGGATCACTCAGGATGTCATTCCACAACATATACTGTGTACCAACTCTCTGCTAAGCACAGTAAAAGGTGCTATGGGAAATACAAAAGAAACCAAGGACATTGTTTCTGCCTTCAACAAGCTTGTGCTTTGGTTTGGGACACAAAACAATACATTTGTGAGGGGATAAAAGCCTTTAATACTTATGAAGCAGCATGCAAACAGTGCAAATTAATACAGTGCAAACTGAACACGTAAGTGCTGAAGAGATATAGGAAAAGGAGGGTCAGAGCTGAGTGAGATTAGTTAGAGAAGGCTGAATGCCCTACACAGAGCATGCGGGGGCCCAGGGTTCTGCCCTCATGTTCCAATGTCCCAGGTTCCACCTTCTCAATGAGGGTGGTTCACCCTAAGGTTACAGAAGCTTTGTGACCTAGGTGCAGATGTGAGGTAGCCTTTAGAGCAACGCTTCATGGTAGAATAAAGCTCCCAATGGCTCACCCTCCTTCCATTTCTGTATAGTGTATATTCCGAGGACAAGAGAAGAAATGTTAAGTTTATTAACGGCAGCAATCAAATAACAGTCACAGGGTTTAGACTTAAGACCACAACTTCCTTCTTCCAAGAGGCAATGCCTAAAATAGAAAGGGAGTCTGTACTCTTAAGACTACCCACTGGCTCAAGTGGTAACACTGAGAAATTCTGCCAAATAGTAGTTTTCAGACAAATAAAGAGAAACACTTTAGTTATACAACATTCATTTACTAGAATGTATACTATATTCTAGGCATTTTAGCAAAGAACACTATTATAGATAAGACTATGGACTCCCCTACTGGAGCTGTTTATTGACAGAGACTGTATCTTTTCTTTACTAATCTAGTGGGAAAGAAAGACATATAATTATATTCAGTATATTTAGGACTTTATTAACGGTCTGGACCATTTCTTTATTAGGTAAATGGGAAATATAAAATCTGTTGAGATGTCAAGTTTCATAAATTAGTTCAACTTTTCTAGAGGGCAATTTGGCAGTAGCTAACAAAATTATTTATTTACCTAATCTTTGTGCAATCAAATTCACTTTTAGGCTTCTATCTTATAGAAATACTTGTTCAAGTTCAGAAATATAAGTGCCCAAGAATGTTTAGCCCCACATTACTTGTAATAGCAAAAAATGTATATCAACACAGGAATGGCTAAGTAAATCAGGATAATTCCATACAATGGAATATAATGTAATTCTTAAAAAAAAAATTAGTAGATCTGTATTTGTTAACAAGAGAACTATACATTATTGTTAAGTGAAAAAAATCTAGTTGTAGAAATAATATACTATAATCTCAATTTTGTAAATTTTTTACTTGTTTAAAATATATTTATCAATATATTGCTTGAATTTTAAATTAAGCAAGCATTACTTTAAAATTAGAATTTTAAAGAGAAATTTTATAAATAAACACTGTAAATAGAATTAAAAAAGAATTTCAATAAATAGGCCATTTTGGGAAGTTAAGGATATACAAAGTAATTCCTTAGCTTTCAGAAACATTACCATGGAGGACAATAACCATATAGAGACAAGAGATACTCCTTGGTAACACTGGCAACTTTTTCATTGAGATAATGGGACTAAGAACTTCAATTTCTTAGTGTTTTATATTCCTAATCTTCCACAGGACAAGCAATCCTTGTGAGTGGAAGTAAAGAACCGACACAATGATGCTAAGAGTCTCTTGTTTTAGGAAGTATTCCCTGAAAAAAAAGATATGGTGGAATCAAGAAAAGGGAACTTCTTAGGAACATCATAAAATGATCAATGTTTAGTAGAGGTGACTTATGACAGAACTGGGATGGCTATGATGCAAGCAAAAGACCTGAGGGTTTCAAATGGTGTTTCAAAAGAAACTTGGTTAAGTGACCCCTGGCACTGCCCAGGCAACTCCAATAATCTACTGAAGTCTATTTGCCGTTCACACTCCTTGAGAGAAGCATTTCCTGTGGCTAGCAATTTTACAAGAATTTCACTTAAAGACATCCAATGCCTTTTCTGTGAATTTATAGTCACTAAGCAATCTACCAAGAAAAAGACTCCCTATGCTCACTCCCTTCCCAAACTAGTTGTACATCCCACTGTAAAGCCAAGAACAACTGTGGTTCTAGTCCTGTGAAGCATGGAGTTGGTAGCAAGTCTCAGGTGGTAATTCTTTGGCTGGCAAAAACTTTCAAAGCATGTGCACATAATGGTTTAGCTACTTGAACTGTGAAGCTTACAATCATACAGGCTGTCTGTGTGACACATATGGGTAAGCAGGTCTCTTTTCAAGAAAAAGGAAGTATGTGAAAGAAAGACTTGGCCAAAAGGCAGCTGAGAGCACAATCTCCATCACAGGTTCCCTGAGTATTCATGGTCTTATTTTTCAGAAAATAACATAGGTTTCCAACTCTTTCCATGAGCGATTCCATCTTAAAAATGCAGCAGTCAATGTTTCAAGGTTAGGTTAACTGTAAATTCTTTCACACAAAAAAAAAGACCCTTACATTTTTTATCACTAAAAAATCTGGATAAAAATTTACCAAACCATTCTCCTTTGCAGTTTTGCTGAGTTAACTTACAGTGATTCTCCTCTCTTTTTATCACACTCTGCATCCAGTCCATGTAGCAAATCCCATTGCTACACAATATATCACGTCTTCACAATATACTGCTACCTTCACATCACTTCTAACCACCTCCATTGTTTATCCATCTAACCCAAGCTACTACCTTCTGTTGCTGGAAATACTGAAAAGAGTTTTCTATCGTCCCTGTCACCACTCAAGCTCCGTAAGTGTTTTCGTCATATAACAGCCAGGGTACTCTTTTAAAACATAAGTCAGATTTTATCAGTCATCCGCTCAAAACCTTCCAATGGCTTCTCTTGTACGAACAATAAAATCTAAAGTCTGAGCCATGGCTTATCTCCTCGCTGCCTGCCTCTTATCCTCATCCCCTTATCCATTCTGTTCTTGCCACAAGGGCATTTTTTTCTGTTCCTCAAACACACCAAGCACTCTTTTCTGTTCCTCAAACACATCAAACATGTTTCTACCTCGTGGTCTTTACTCATTATCCTCTCTGAATAGTCATTCAAGCTTTGTGCAAATGTTATCTCCTCAAAGAGTCTTCTTTGATTGTCCTAACTAAACAGCATCCTCAATGCACTCATCTTTCTGTTTTACTTCAGTATTAGGCATTAACTGACATTAACTCTGTTTAGTCACTGTTTCCCACACCAGAATTAAGCTCTAAGAAAGCAAGCATATTGTTCACTGCTACTTCTTCAGCCAATTAGTACTAAGCACAGAGCAGAGCAAGAACTCAACACAGATTTACTAAGGAGTGAATGAACATTCTGGAATCCATGATTACTTGAGTTTGCTATTTCCTTAAATTTCATTTATGTGCCTGGTGACACTACCGTTGAAGATAGAGTAAACTTTTCCAAAGTGATTCTAAACATCCCCCTTTCTGGATCATTTAGCTGAGTCATATATTTTCTGCTAAGAAAGCACAAAGACAGTTGAAAGATGGTTCCTGGTAAGTATCAGTGGCAGATACTGGGGCCTACCTAGCAACACCTGCAAAAGTAGGTTTAGTCTCAGTGCAGCAGCTAGGGTGATCCTTTTAAAATTAAAAAAATTATCCTTTTAAAACAGAAGCCATAAATCCGACAGTGGTTCTCTACTCTCAGAACACATCAGGAACTCTCATAATGGCCTCTGAGGTCCTATAAGAACTGGCTCATCACATCTCTGACCTCATTTCCACTCTTCCCTGCCCCATGCTCTTCTGCTCCAGTCACACTGGCCTTATTGTTGATCCTCAGACTAGGCAACTCATGCCTTAAGGCGTTTGCTCTGGCAGTTCCCTCCTCTGGAAATGTCCTTCACCCAAAAGTCAACATGGCTAATTTCTTCAGCTTTGCTCAACCATCATCTCTGTGATGAGGCTCACCTTGATCCCTCTGTTTAAAGTCACAGTCTAGCACTCTTGATTCCCCTTACCACGCTCTACTTTTTCTTTTTTTCCCCTGGGGCTTTCACATTCTATAAATTTTACTTATTACGTTTATTGTCCTTCTTCTCACTAAAATACAAGCTCTTTGAGGGCAGGAATCTTCTCCTGTTTTGTGCACTGATCTCAAATATCTAGAATAGCACCTGGCATAGAGTAATCACACAATAAATACTTATGATGAGGGTAAAGAGTCTCTTAGCCTTTATTCTGAGAAATTACCATGTCTGGACTGCCTTTGGAGAAGAGATTACCAACACAATTTGATTAATATAAAAAGCACGAGGAGATAATAGTGTAACACAGAAAAACAGGGAATTCCCTGGTGGTCCAGTGGACAGGACTCGGTGTTTCACAGCTGGGGCCTGGCTTCAATCCCATAAGCCGCGCCACATGACCAAAGAAAGAAAACACAAGCCCAACCAACCAAAAAGAATACCCTAAACAAACAAATACAGAAAAACAAAGACAAAAACACTGGACAAGAAGTTAAAAAAAACATGGATCTGTGCTCCAGTTTCATTTTTGACTCAATGACTATGACTGAACAATACACTTAAGTCTTTAGTTTCCCATCTGAAAATCAAGAATAAGAATAATGCCTCATGGGGTGGTAAGAGGATGAAATGAAATAAATAAAAATATAAAAATTACATGACTACATTTGGAATTATCTTTATTTTAGAGCTTCTTAAGGGTTTGGAAGGGAAAATTCCTCCCTTTTCCCTTACTAAGAAGGTTTCTCCTCAGGGCTCAGAGTATGACCACTTCCCTTTGAGCTTTTTCATCTGGGGGCTCTACAGGCAGATCAATCCAGAAAAAGACAATCATAGGCTAGACAGTTTAGAAATATTAATATCTTTGACCACTTAATAAAGGGGCAGTATCACACAAAAGTAAAACTTAACCAAAAACAAAAAAACCTCCAAACCAAAAAAACCCCAGAAACCTCAAAAATAAAAACTAAACAAATTACTCATTATAAGCAAAATATCATGGTAAGACAAAGTAATGGAGTCACGCCACTCAAAAACCTCAAGGGTAGAAAGAGGCTCTGGTAGCTTGTTTTTTTCCCAGCCATTTTTAATAATAGAAGAATAGAACACAGAGTTAAAAAGAGAAACCATTTAAAATAGATGTCCAATAAGCTCCCACTATATCCACTGATCCTTACCTGGCATGCTGAAGCTCAATCAGAGCAGCCCTCAGTGGAGATGAAAGCATGCTTTGCTTGAGCCATTTACCCAGAGAGAAATATAGCTGTGCCAGAAAAGTGCCAGAAAAATTTAAAACCAGAGGCAAAGTCACAATGAGAGATACTTTGGTAAGTCTGAAAAGAAATAAATAGCAGTTCTATTAACTATTACTTGGGCAACTTGGTAGGACCAAGTGTCCTGTTGGATCGGAAAATTTTTGATGACTATAATAAAATTAGAGAATAAAGGTGATAGATTTTCCAGGTTTGAGGAACACATACTACTGAACTGATTTTGACACCTGGAGATCCAATACTATAGTTTGGAAAATATGTTAAAGGAAGAGTTAGTTCCATGAAAGAGGGAGAGAAAAAAAAGAAACCACAAAATTTGATAGACACAGTCAATCTTAAGCAGTATTCTCATTCCAGCCTATAAATTTCTCTGCCTTGACTTGTTTCCTTAGACCAAGCTACTTGTCTCACTTTTATAGCAAATTCAAATATCCCCCAAATACTGACTAGCATACTGATTCACATTTATTATATCCTTTTTTGCTCTTAATCCTAAACACAAAGACGAAATGGCTTACAGTACAAGTAGGCATCAAGCTTAGGTGGAAAACCAATCATTTGAAATGATTAAATTGAGATGAAGAAGCTTTGTAGAATCCATACTCATAGGCCAAAAGGCTAGTGAGTGAACAGACTGTGAACAGCTCTGCCAGTTTTAGGATGGCTGGTGACCCTGCTTCTTCTTCTTCTTCTAGTTTATGTTTCTTAGGAAAGAGAGAAAAAATAAAAGCCCCCAGTGATGAGTCACTTGATCTTACCACGTCAATCTCCGTGTTTGAATGTCCCATGTTACAAACGATGCAGCTATTCTTCATACGATCTAAATGCTCTCTGGTTACCACATTCTTATTACCTTAAAAACAGAAGAGATATCCACATGAAAAGGAATGAAGTTCGACTCTTTCTCATACCGTATGTAAACTGAACTTATAATGTGTCAGAGACCGAAATTTAAGAGTTAAAACTATAAAACTCTAAGCAAAGCATGGGAATAAATCTTTGTGACCTGGGTTAGACAATGGTTTCTTAGATAATAGTACCTAAAGCACAAGCAACCAAAGGAAAAAATAAACTGACTACATTGAAATTAAAAACTATGTGCTGCAAATGATACCAATGAGAAAATGAATTAACAACCTACACAAAGGGACAAAATACTTGCAAATCATATATATGATAAAAACTCATACAGATCAATAATAAAATTTCTACAGAACTCTTACAACTCAAAAATAAAACGAAAACTCATTTTTTAAAGAAAGTTTTTGGCCGTACCATGTGGCATGCAGGACCTTAGTTCCCCAACCAAGGGTCAAACCCTGCCTGCGTTGGGAGCTCCCCTGCATTGGGAGCACAGAATCTTAAACACTGGACCATTGGGGAAGTCCAAAAGACAACTCATTTTAAAAATGAGTAAAGGATCTGAATAAACATTTTCAAAAGATGTACAAAAATGTGTTGACATGCACATGCAAAGATGCAAATCAATACCACAATGACACAGTACTTCACACATACTAGGATGGCTATAATCTAAAAATCAGAAAGTAACAAGTGTTGACAAGGATGTGGAGAAACTGTAACTCATGCATTGTTGGCAGGATGTAAAATAATGTAGTTACTTTGGAAGGTTTGGCATTTCCTCAAAATGTTAAAAGTAGAGTTATCATATGATCCACTTGTAGGTATACATCCAAAAGAACTAAAGATATGTTCACAACAAACTTGCATACTGTGTTCATAGCAGCATTGTTCATAATAGCCAAAAAGTAGAAACAACCCAAGTGTCCATCAACTGAAGAATGAACATCACTGAAATGTGATATAATCTTAAAATGGAATGTTATCCAGCAATCAAAAGAAATGAAATACTGATACATGCTACAACATGCATGAAAGATGAAAATATTATGCTAGGTAAAAAATGCCAGTCACAAAAGAAAAACATACTGTATGATTGTTTATATGAAATATCCAGAATAGGCAAATCTATAGAGACACAAAATTTAATGGTAGCCTAGGGCTGGGGAAAGGTGGAGGGTAGAAAGAGGAGGGACTGCTAATGATGTAAGATTTCTTTTGGGGATGATAAAAAATGTTGTGGAATTAGATAATGGGATATTGTACAACTTTAGTAAAAATCACTGAACTGTATACTTTAAAAGGTGATTTTTATGGTATGTAAAGACATCTCAATAAAAAAATTAGATTCTGATGGTTGTATGACCCTGTGAATTTGCTAGAAAACATTGAATTGTACACTTAGAGTGGGTGAAATGTATGGTAAATGAATTACATGTCAATAAAGTTACTTACAAAGAAAAGGGATCGAGGGGTTGATGTGAAACAAGAACAGTTTCTTATGGTCCCTCTTTGCCCCCAGCTCCCCCTTAGGCTATAAATAATAGTTTTATTCTTAAATATTCTGATTTTCTTCCTTTAAAACAGAGTTACAAAAGAAATACAATATTCCAATGGAAAGATAATAGTATGTATCTCAGTATAAGGAAAGTAGCTGTATCTCATATTACTCAAACTCAAAACCTACCTCTTTGCAAATTAACACAGCTACCTTGCCCACTTTCTCCAACCATGAGAAATTTTGCTCTAGCCTTGCTTTAGTTATAAGGACTAGAAAGAAATACACATCACTTTTGGAAGTAAAAAATTTTTTAAAATGTACAAATTTAAGATCTGGCTTCCCAAATAAAACTCATTGGTAGCCATCTGCTAGGTAGCTGAGGATGGATAGAGATATAAAACAGTTAAAAGGGCTAGAGAGAAACTTCCTCTAGGGATGACCTAATGGTACACTTTTGGTCAGAGCTCTAAAGAGGTTAGAAGAACAGGAAAGATTGGTTTTGTGGACTACTATCTCTGACTTTCAGAGTTTGGTTTTGTTTAGAGCATTTCCAGTCATTTTTCACTTGTTCCATGCAAGTGTTCCCAAATGCCATCCCATTGTATGTGTCACAATCATACCTGTACAGGTAATAACAATATCCACTTGTCGGATGACCTCATTCAATTTCACCAGTCGAAATCCATCCATACTGTAGAAATAAAGTATGATCAGTTAACCTAAATAGGCAGCTGGGAAACCTTCTGCCACATAACCTCAAAAGCTAGTACCCAAGTTGCTTTGGTACCTACAACACTTTTTGATATGGCTGGACTATTCTTAGCAGTGAAAAATTCAAACTGCTTCCTTAGTTCACATAGGACAGAAATAAAAGTTTCTTTCTACCACTGGGACCTAATTCTTCCTGATAATAGAGAGACAGGGTTAACTGTGAAACCCCAATCAATTTCTAGAAATTGTCATTTCACCTGAACCTAGTACCCCACTGAAACTGCTCTCCCCAAGATCATCAATGATCTCCTGGATGCCAAAAGCAAATTTTTCTTAAGACTCTAATATTACTTGATTTCCTCTGTTACATTAAACATTATTTGCCTTCTTAAAACTCTATTGTCCTGGAGTCCATGATGCTGTTTTCTCTTGGTTTTCCTACTTTTCTGATTGCTCCTTCTTGATCTCAGTCAATCCTTAAATGTTGGTACTCTGTGGGGTGCTCTTTTCCTCTCTTCTTTCAGCACTTATCCACTCCTGCCCCTTGGATACAAATGATGCCTCACAGATGGCTTATTTTCACATTGATATCTTTAGCTTAGATCTCTCCAAAGCATCAGAGCCATGGATCAAATTATCCACTGGATAGCTCCTCCTCCGGAGAAGGCAATGGCACCCCACTCCAGTATCTTGCCTGGAAAATCCCGTGGATGGAGGAGCCTGGTAGGCTGCAGTCCATGGGGTCGCTAAGAGTCGGACACGACTAAGCAACTTCACTTTAACTTTTCACTTTCACTCATTGGAGAAGGAAATGGCAACCCACTCCAGTGTTCTTGCCTGGAGAATCCCAGAGACAGGGGAGCCTGGGTGGGCTGACATCTATGGGGTCGCACAGAGTCGGACACGACTGAAGTGACTTAGCAGCAGCAGCTCCTCCTCATGTCCCACAAGGACCTCAAACTTATTATCTTCCCCACACCACCAAGCCTATCTGTCTCTTCTATATTTTCTACCAACCCTATCTATCTCTTCTTCTATATTTTCTGTCTTAACCAACAGCATTGCTGTTCATCCAACTCTAAGAGTCAAACTATAATGTCCTAGCTTACTGCCTCTCCCTAGTTAAAACTGTCACCAAATTGAGTTGTTTCTTTTTCCTTAATTCCTTAAAACCTCTTTAATCTATACTGACTCAATACACATGAGTTTGAACAAACTCCAGGAGATAGTGAAGGACAGGGAAGCCTAATGCACTGCAGTCCATGAGGTCACAAAGAGTCAGAAATGACTTAGTGACTTAACAACAATCTATTCCCTCTTCGCTATACAAGTAGGCCTGACATTCAGATTGTATTGTTCCTTGTTATGGTAGACTCTGGCCCAATCTCATTGCCTCTAAGTTTATGTCTAATTCATTTTGCAGAGTGATTTCCTGAAATGCAGTCTGGATCATGTCACTTGTCTGCTTAAAATATTAATACTTCATTGAGATTGCCTGGTATCAGGATAAGACAGGAAGACTTAAGTTGATATATGAGGGCAGCTCCATTAAGATATTTCTAGCTTCTTAAATATAAACATGTCATGCTCTTTCCTTCCTAGGTGACCCTTGAAAATGTTCCCTGTACCTGGAACTTACTTTCAAACTAAGAAGTCACTTAAACAAGTTTCAAGACTCAGCTCTATTGACACCTCTTTCTACCCTGCCCCGCCTTGCTCTTTTATTTATTTTTAATGGTCATTTTTTTTTTAATTGGAAGTTTTTAAATCTCCTGCTCTTTAGTTAGATATTCCTCCTTTGTGGCCCTATAGAAGCATGTGCTGTTTATCTCTATCACTGCCCTTATTACACTGCACGGTGGTTATTTGTCTGTGTGCTTCTGAAAGCAGGAATTTGTTTCATTCTTCTACTCATCCTATTCATCCTCACCACAGAGCAGAGTACCTAACACAGAATAAGTGCTCAATTCACGTTTATAAGGTAGTTTGGATCAGTATCTCAATCAGTATTAAAGCATGTTTAGGTTCCTCTGATAAACCCTGGAAGTGCCGGAATGGTGACAGTTCCCCTTGTGTGCTGGAGCCTTGACTTAGACAAAGTCAGCAACTCTGCTGGGGAAAACTGTGGGTTGATGGCTAGCGTGTGTGAGGAGTGGTAGGCTAGGGGAAATGTCATGCCTCATCTTTCGTGGGTACCTTCCTCGGGCGGGTTAATGGTAAAGACTGGGGGGTTATTCAGGCTACAGACATGGGGACTGTGCAGTTGTTTTCAGGGACAGTGTGCTAAGTTGGCCAAAAAGTTCATTTCATTTTTTTGTAAGATTTTACCCAATATTTCTATCCTGCTGAGGATGGCAAGAGACAATTTTAGTAAGTTACCACTTAGTGGGCATTTATTATGTGACAGCCCCTCTACACTTTGCATAGTTATATATTTATTATATAATGTATGTGTTAGTCATTTAGTCATGTTCAGCTCTTTGTGATACCATGGACTGTAGCCCACCAGGCTCCTCTGTCCATAGGATTCTGCAAGTAAGAATACTGGAGTGGGTAGCCATTTCCTTCTCCAGGGGATCTTCTCAACCCAGGGACTGAACCTGGGTCTCCTGCATTGCAGGCAGGTTCTTTACCATCTGAGCCACCAGGGAAGCATTATCATATGTAATAATTATATAATTATTTTCTGAACTTTCATAATTGAGGTAGATAAGATTACATACAATTTACAGATGAGAGAGGAACTATTTTTTTAATTTTAACTTTGGAATCATTTCAAGCTTAAGAATTATAAGCATAGTACAAACAACTCCTATGTATCCTTCAACCAGAGTTAGTAGATTTTACCCTTCACTTGATTTGTCTGACATTTCCTCCTGATCACACTGAGGTGATGATCTGGGGGAGGCGTGTAACAGAAATGCTCATTTGGGTGCATCACTTTGGAAAGGATCTGACGCCAGCCTATTTCTTTTTTGATCATTGTTTTCAAAGGGAGAGGAGTGGCATGTGGAGCTGGGAAGGGGCAAACTGTTTTTTGACTCAAGGCGTCTCCTGTCACTGCTTCCACAGGAGTTCCAAATTCTAGATTCCCTGATAGTCTCTGTTTTCCCAGAGCAGAGCTCCTAGAACTTTGAAAGACGGGTGCTTACAGTTAATACCAGCCTCTCAGGATCCAGGCCCCTCCAAGAGAAAATGTTGCGTTAACTAGGCCATTCTTTGAAGGCAGTTACAAGATCACATGTTAGACAGTGCTGCAAAGGAAAAAGCAGATCTCCTTATGCATGCTTACCAGGCTTGAAGAGCGCAGATGGGGTCGATCTCAGTCACGTACACAATGGAGCCCATAGCTTTCAAGGCAGCACAGCACCCCTTCCCGACCTGGAGAGAGGAGAAAGAACTCATGATAAGGAAAGTCACGAAGAAAATAGCTCCTCAAAGCTTCTGGTGAAGTGTACCCTCCTTTCCGCCCCCAAAGGGAATTTCACTGAATAGATTCATGCTTGGGGGACAATAGGAAAAAAAATAAATGAATGCATTTCATAAACAAACTCCTCAGCCCTGCTTAGCACATGCATGTGCACAAGTACACCCACACTCACGATTTATAATCAAAACACAAGCTAAAAGAACATCGCAAACAGTGCACTGGAACAGTCAGAAAATCAACTTAAGGAAAAAATAGCAAAAATGCAAAGGGAAAAAGAAAGATTGTACTTTAACCAGAGGGCTTCTGAATAACCAGAGGGCTTCTGAAGTTACTTTTTTCCCATTTAAAACGGTAAATGAATGCAGTTTGATGTCTACAGAAATGAAAAATTCTAGTATATTTCCACAAAATACATTTTAAATTCCTAATAACTGAAAGATTAAACCTTACCTCTCCATAGCCACAGACCACCACCTGCTTCCCACCAAACATCATGTCTGTTGTTCTTTTAAGTCTATGGGGGAAGAAAAACTGAATCAGAAAAATCTCTAATTTCTCCCTTAAGATTAGATTGAGTCCCTTTGTTTTCATGGTGGGGGTTTTTTTTGGTTTTGGGTTTTTGTTTTGAATGTTGAAAGTAAGCCTGGTTTCTATTCTAAAGAAACTATTTAATGACTATAAAGAAAAGTTCAATAAAATATGCATTTTCTTACTCCATGCTATCCAATCAATTCCATCTACATGTGAGGGTTTTTTCTTTTTTCCCCTTGTCCTGGGAGTGGTGCAAAAGGGAAGAAGCTATAGACCACAAAGTAACTTTTAAACATAAAAGCAATATATATTTATTATATAACATTTAGAATATATAATATTTGGAAATAAAGATTAAAAAGTAAATAAAAATAATGTAATTTTATTTAGGAGGTGACAAAGCTCTGGCTTAATGTAAACTTTCTAGCTTACTGAGAGATACATAAAATATAATGCTGATAAATGAGTCCTATATTTAGTGATATCAGAATGGCCAATAGGTCCCACATTAATTCAGGTAGGGTAACAGGCAACAAGGTGGAGAAGAGCCATGAAACATGCCAACATTGACTGCATAAGCATAGAGTTTTCCGGGCTGAGTCCTTTTCAGATGTGTTCTACTTCTTTGTCTCTGAGTCTCTATGAGGCTAGAATAAAGGTCCTTAGTGTTTTCAGGCTCTCTTGGAAGAAGTTGTAGGAGCAGTTTCTGGTTTCTCTTTAGGTCTGGTTGATCTCCCTTCTCTAGGAAGCCCTGGCTAGGCAGAAGAAACTTTTCAACTAAAAGCTGTCATTCTGAGATAGTTCTGACAAATATCTGTGGGTCTTTCTACTCATCTATCTGGATAACATCTCCTGTTGAAAAGAGTCTAAAAATGCCCCAAGGGAAAGTAGAAATCTATCTTTTTAATGACTTGACAACTCCACTCACTAGGAACTAGTATAACTCTATGAACCCCGATGAGACTCAGTAACTCTCAATTAAGTGCAGAGGCAATTTCTGTTGAGTGATGAGGGTAAGTCTGGCTTGGCGACTACCATATTTAAAAGTCATGGCTTAGAATGGTCCTGGACTGGCTCAGCACCAACAAGGAAATCACTAGTGCCTGTGGTGTTCCAAACTGCCTGACGTTCAGACTAGTAATGTGGCCCACAGGCCCTTTCTTCACTTTTCCATTAACCTATATATGATGGAAACCATTTGGTTTGGGAATATTCTAAACCAACTTAATGCTTTCATACAGGGAATTACTGAGTCATCTTAGCAAGAAAGAAAAAAATGTCAGGACACAAGTGTAGATAGTAACTGGGTTCTGGAAGAACACATTTTTTGGTATATTATATCTAAGTAGATTTTTTCAGACTTGTAGTCCTCACAGATTTGAAAAACTACAAATGCCTCTGGGAAATGACCCTTTGCTCACCACGATTTTCCACATGGTCAAAGAATTGTTATGATGGTTGTAACTTAAGTCATGACAACATGACCTGGAAGAGAAACACCAGGAACCTTTTCCTAAACCACCAAAGATACTTATACTGACTTTAGTTACTTCCAGGCCTGATAGGATGACAAAGTAAAAACTCTGTCACCAATAGACAGGAGCTGGTCTGATTTTTTAAGTAAAATAGATTCACTTGCAATAGCGATAGCAATGGTAACTCTATGTCATAAAATACTGAATATGATGTAATAGTGATAGCAAAGATATATTTGGGTTATAAAATCTTGAGTATGATATGGGTTATAAAATATTGTGTCTGAGATACAACTAGTTTCATCCTATAAGGTATATACATAGAAACGAAGAATACATTTTAGAGTCTGTATACAGCTTAGAGGTGCTACACAAATCATTTCCAGAAACAACCAAAACCAAAAAATTTAGAACCTCAATTCAACAACTGAAGTTCACGCCAAAGATAACAATCCATTACCCATCAAGAATTGATTCACGGCAACAGTAGAGGTTGTCAAATTTCTGTTTCGTGACTGAGTCATTGACATTCATGGCTGGAACACACAGCTTCCCAGCTTTGGATAGCTGGTACAGCCTAAGGATAAAGGAAATAAAAAAGAACATAAAAAAATGAGATATTCCAATCCATCAGTTTCATATCAAATTTTACAAATAAGTTAATTGAGTAGGCATGAGAGTCTGAGACACAACTAGTTTCATCCTATACAGTGTATATAGAGAAACAGAGAATACTTTTTCCAGAGTCTATATACAGCTTAGAAATAAAGATCTTAATCAAAAGGCACATGGGGAAAATCTTTGACCTACCTCTAAATTTTAAGGATTAAAATGTAAAACTTAAAATTGCTTATTAATTTTATTTCTCTTTTTAATTATAAGAGAAACTTTTAAGTACTGTTTTAATCCCCACTACTCTAAAGCAACAATATTAACTTTCAAATAATCTCAATCTTATAATTTCAGTATACACACCTCTAAATATATATATCTACATGCATATTAAGTCGCTTCAGTCATGTCTGACTCTATGCAACCCTGTGGACTGTAGCCCACCAGGTTCTTCTGTCCATGGGATTCTCTAGGCAAGAATACTGGAGTGGATTGCCATTCCGTTCTCCAGAGGATCTTCCTGACCCAGGGATCAAATCCACGCCTCTTACATCTCCTGCATTGGTGGGTGGGTTCTTTACCACTAGCACCCCTAGGAAGTCCATATATCTATATATAAGGATTATTTTTTTTTTAAATTCAGTCAACTAAAAATTAGAACCAGATGTTTTATTCAAAACTCATCCCTTTCCAAAAGTTTGAAAATTTGGGACAATTCATAGTTTTATACATTCAAAAAGATCACAATATAATGAAGCAGTGTTAGTAGCTGATTCAGAATTTATTTCCCCAAAACTTTCATACTTTAGCTCTTTCTGGGTAAATAATAGGAAACAGAAATGGTTACAATTGTATTCAGGGAATTAAGACTCATTTGAGAAACAGAACCCTAAATACTTGTTCTCTATGTATGAATGTAAGCTCTCTGAGAGACCAGGATTTTTTTTCCCCACTGCGAAATCCCTAGGATGGTTTTTAGAGCAGTTATTGGTTCAATTCAGAAGTTCAGTAAGTGAATTTGTCCAAAAAAGACAAGCAGTCATTGTATTACAATGCTAGAAAACATGAGGCCCATACTTGTTCCCCTATCCACTCCTCACTATTTTAAGTTTGTTATTTGTGTTGTTAATTTAAAACACAAGTATGCAGATTTGGATCTCATCATTTCAGAGCATCATTTTAATTTTTAATATAATGTAGTCTATAAGTGGACTTCCCTGGTGGCTCAGTGGAAAAGAATCCACCTGCCAATGCAAAAGACTTGGGTTTGATCCCTGGGTCGGGAAGATCCCCTGGAGAAGGAAACGGCAACCCACTCCACTATTCTTCCTGGGAAAACCCCATGGACAGAGAAGCCTGGTGGGCTACCGTCCATGGACCTGCAAAGAGTTGAACATGACTTAGCAAATAAACAGCAACAACAATTCTGTAAGTATGTGATTACATGAACATATGTCCAGGCTGCATAAAGCCAGCATGCCTATGTCAAATCTTACCTATGGACTCCGGTAACACTCTCCTCCACTATGCCCTTGATTTTCTTAAACATGTTGGGATACTTCTTATAAATCCAGTGAGTAAGATCCCCTCCATCATCCAAGATCTGGAAAAATAAGCATCAATAATGTCATATTTAAAATTTTGTAAATCGTTATACAAAGTAATTTACATTGGTCATTATACAGAAGAAAACAATAGTGAGATGAAAGGTCAACTGTAATTCTCACAGCCAAGTGAACTTCCCAAATGACATACCTACTAGGATCAATCTATATAGCCATGCAATGAGGATTTTCGTATGGACTAATAGCTTAAGTGATTATCTAGACCACTAGCTCTTGACTGTACTGTAGATAGTCAGAAGGCTTAAACCTAATAGCATATTTATATTAGTTAAATTCAGGACTTTGAATATAATCAGTGAAAGCTTAGTAAAACCAGATAATTAGTCTCTCTCCCAGAACAATGGCTTATAAAACTGTATTTGTTAATCCTTTACTTCTCCCAAAGTATAGGCATTCTCCTACCCAAAATGCCCAGGCAGCACTGTACGGTTTTGCCTAGCACAACCTCACACTCTCTATAAACCAGATTAAAAATAACTAGGGAACTGTGCAGCATGTAGGTGTGCAAGCATGCCTCCGAACAGCTCATCACTATTTCAGGTTGGGATTAAAGACAAACACAAAGCTGTGCCCACTGGAGCTTTCATCAGCAGAGGAAAATTTCTGAATTATAAATAAGCTAAAGAAAGATCAGTTTAGAATACGATTAGGCAGTAGGCTGTGGAATTTCAGCCCTTTACCTAGCTGTCAGAAATGCTTGGCAGGACTTTCCAAATTGTCACAGCCACTCTCCCAGAAAGACCCACAGGACTGCGCTGCCCTCTGCTGGCATGTGCCCATTCTGCAGTTCCATCAGTTAACCCCGCTAGAAGTGTCAAGGTGCCATCCTGGATCCCTGCCTATACACCATCTCCAACCTTGTGTCTAATACCTGACCTCTTTTTTTCGCTTCTGCCCTTGTTTTTTTGTTTTGTTTTGGGCTGCAGCACTTAGGCTGGTAGAATCCTAGTTCCCTGACCAGGGACTGAACCCAGGCCCTTGGCAGTAAGAACATGGAGTCCTAACCACTGGACCGCCAGGGAATTCCCAATTCTGCTCCTGCTGTTGATCTATTTTCTCTGATTCCACCAAATCTTATTTGAGAGGAGAGATCCAAGGCTGGACTCACTGACACTTGCTCCATACTGTAAAGTCAGCGCTCCGTTTTTCTCGTGGTAGAAACCCTCAGAACAGAGTCTCTAAGGGACAGAAAGGGTCCTCTGCATTTCTCTCTCCCTTCTCACACGTATGAAATCCCTCATGGAGTTTTTCCTTGCAGCCTCTGATCCCTAGCATACAAAATATGCCCTACAGGAAAGACTGTATCTTAGAATAACTATTCTCAACCACTTTTTCCTTTTAACAAAGATTTCAAATACAGCAGGTGGTTGCTATCCCTAATATTTATTTAATGAATAGAGCCTATAATTCTCAGCCTGTCATTCTACTGCAGAAAATTCTTGTCACCCAGGTATCTTCCTGAGGTTGGCGAGCAAGTAAAAGTACTAGATCTTTACAGGATCCAAAAAAGATGATGGGTACTGTTTTCTGGGGTCACAGTTCTCATCCTTGTCTTACTCACTTCGTCAACCTTTCCAGCAGTTTGTGCTGATCTACAGTCTATAAATGCTTGCTATGTACAATACCCTTTCCTCCCTATGATTGTGACTATACAATTAATGTTTTATTCCCAGTAGAACCTCTGTCAGTCACACTCCGTTCTGGCACTGTTAAACTCTGATGGAATGAGCTGACTCTTCGTGCAGCCAACTCCTCCCTCCCTTTGAGGATACAAAGGTTTTAATCCAGCTTTCCTCAAATCAACCCTTGGTGCATTGTGACCTGCATCACAGAATCTAGAAAGACAGGCTGCTTCTCCCTCTGTCTCCCAGGTGAAGCCTGCTCTGCAGTCTTTAGCAGCAAGTAATAGTTGGACCAGAGCTTCAAGGATTCTTGTTTTTAGTTGATTTCCTTAATTTCTCCTCTCACTCCTATCCAGAAGGTTTGCAAAGTAGGAGTGCATCATACTTGTGCAGCTCTGCGCTTCCCCTTATGAATCTAATATGCTATCAGCCTTCAAGCACTTAAAAAAAAGTTAAACAAAAATAAAAACTAAGCAAAAATTAAAAGCCCCAACTTCCTAAGGTGAGAAATGAATAAAGAAGAAATTTGAACTTGGAATCCCTTCAGGTTTACTATAAATTTAGCATGTGATTCTAGAGAGAAAGCTATGTACCACAAGAGCTGTGTGTGTTGGGGGAGGTGCTGGCGAGCAGTGTTAGGGGATAGTAACTCATTCATCTTACTTTTTAACCAGTCATGTGTGAACCTGGAGCAGTATTTTAAGGTTGCTGATGAATATGAGCACTTCTAAGATCAACACTGACAATTATAAGCACTTTGAGGCTATAAAGAGGTTTAATCTTCTCGGGATGTCCTAAGCATAAGCATCTAGTTCTGCTGGAAGCCCAAGTACATCAGATGAAAAAGGAAACATTTTCCTTCCTTCCTTCCTGTTGGGAAACCCTCTCTCAGACCACATCCTCCTTCCCTGTACCCCCAGGTCCCAATGAACTGTGCTAACAGAAATCTAACACACCATGTTTGGCTGCCAGCCCTCCACATTCACACATCTATCAATGCACCACCAGAAGTCATCTTCTGACTCTCCTTTCCAGGCAAACACAGGAAATCCTGAGAAAAAAGAACAAAGAGAAACCATTAAAGCCTGAAAAAAGGGCTGACCCTCAGTTTTGGCAAGAAGATGAGATGCTAGTTTTTCAGATGAGATGTTAGTTTTTCCTAGTTCCAAACTTGTTCTGCTGTACTTCTTAGGCTGACATCTTCGCTGATTAAATATTGTCTTCAGCCCCTTTATCCATTCCTTCATCTTTGGTAGTCATTTTATTCTTGTTAGACCAAAGAGGACAAACAAAAGGGCCAAGAGTATGATGGGTGCTAAAAGTATGACTAAAAGCAAAAAAGAGGAAACTAGAAATATATACTTCTTCATCTAGTCCAACTAGAATCCCTACCATTTCCCAACTACATTTTGATCTTTTTTTGCTTCTCTACCTTAGTCATTCCACCTTCTTCATCAGGAAAACTCTTACACTCTTCTCCCTCTGTTCAAATGCTGCTACATTTCACTGGCCAGTTAAGTCTCATGTTCCTAATGAAACCTTATTAACTAGCTGTAAGTGATCTCTCATGGAATCTGATCTTTTATTAGCCCCTTGCTGGTACACTGAATGTGGGTTATGATCTGTTGTGGCATTATCATATATGTCCTTGTATTATCACTGTTTGTATATGTGTCTTTTCTCCTTAACTACAATATAATGTTCTGAGTGCAAAGACTCTCTTATTTGCCCTTAGAGTTAGTCAATAAGCATTTGTTGGGAAAAAAAAAAAGAAATGAATGTATATGTACAATTAATTGAACTACGTATTTATATATGTGCACTTTCTATACATAATTTATACATTAATAAAAATTTTACAAATCAATGAATGTAAATGAAAGAACAAATGAAATGTTGACAGCGTTTGCAAAAGGAGAGATATACATGCACTACAGAACTTTCCCAGAATTTCTCAAGAGCTCTGAAGCAAATTTTTTGTACCCTGATCTGTGTTGTGCTATCAGAGAGGGAGCGCAAGAAACCGGCAAAGTCCAAATTTCTCTATTTCTTTTTTTCTAACACAGTCATTCATTTTTCTTGCCATTGCCAAACATTCCCCAAATCTTACTCACCAGAAATTAACAGAGCTTCTCCATTTTCCTCCCTGACAATCCTCATGAATGGAAAGGGCTTTAAGGGAGCAACAGCCAATGACAATGTTGAGTGGATAGACCACGCCCTTCCTTTGTTTCAAAACTACCTGTTCTGGCAGTATCCCAACCAGGTTTCAATGCTCCTGTGTCTCAAAGTGGTCTTCACAAAAGCCCATATTTTAAGGCTATATGGAGGAGCACAGAGAACAGTTAATAGTGATAATAGCCTTTTAGATTTTGAAAAGGCAGTGTTGGTCCACATCAGGATTAAGGGTCTCTGCTTTTAATGTGGTGTAAGCCACAAAAATTGGCAATAATATAGAAGAACAATTTTGGAAAAGGGGAAGAGAATTCAGAAATACAACAACAGAGCTGCTCTAATCAATGCTCCAGGAAAAGCCATCCTGAAGGAGAAACAGCCTAACAGATACTATCAGCTAGGCATGAGGTTCAGAAGAAGAACTTTTCTTTCCAACTCCAGATAAATATCTACACCTGGTGTCAAAGTGTCAGGTTATAAAGGGGACAGAACACAATGTCTAAAAAAGAGGGCAGAGGACAACATTCTCAGAAAATGCAGAGAGACAGACCTTGGCTAAAGGGAGATACGAGGACTTAACAGAGTGCAGACTAATGGTCAGGTCAAGTCCAGGGGAGAAGGAATGTGCACCTTGGCTACCAATCTTCATGGTAGTACCAGCAATATTAGGGTTCTGTGGCAAATATCAGAGGCAAAAGGGTATTACTTCTCAGTCCTCAAAACTGCAGAAACAAGATATATTGCAGGAAAGCTGATCTGAGGTGGTATTTATTTGTGCTGCTTTCTTCCTTCCAGTCATTTTATGTGAGACATATTTCTCCTAAGGCTGAATAACATGCCTGTGGGTCTGGTTACTTACTGCCATCTGGGACAAAGTATTTCCCAGGAAAACTTGTGTCCAGTGGGTCTAGCTTTATTATTCTAAGTATTTTCTCACTTTCAATCCTAAAACCATAATGAGACAATAGCCTCCATAAATTCTGTCATCCAGGCAGACAGGGGAATCTTATTAAAGGAGTGACAACAGTTCTAGGTTCTAGGCTTGTTATATCACAAATACAAAATCATCAATCGGTATGGTTTTAAAAAGTTTGTTTTTGGAGAAGGGAATGGCAATCCACTCCAGTATTCTTGCCTGGAGAATCCCATGGACAGAGGAGCCTGGCAGACTACAGTCCATGGGGTCACAAAGAGGTGGACAGGACCGAGCGACTACCACTACTAAAAGTCTAGCTGATACCACACTTAAAGCTGAGCAGTTGCTTAGGTTCTTTGGTCTGTGGGCTGAGGGATGGAGCTGTTCACAAGTGGAGATGTACTGGGTTTAAAGTCAGCTTTGTTAAACCATTCTGGAATAAAGCTCAACTGGAAAAGTGGAAAAAAAAAAGTCAGTTTGGAATCATTTTATAAGATACATGATGGAGTAACTACAGAATCAATGGCACTTCCAAGAACATTCTATACCCCAGTGTAGAAAGGTTAATCAAACAGGTTTCTTAGTCTTGTACAGGGCAAGTGGACCTTAAGGGGGAGCTCTTTGAGCACGATGAGAGAAAATAGGGGGACTCCAATGAGAATACCAGTAAAATCTACCAAAAAGGAGATGGGGGTGGGGGTGATGGAGGGTTCACAAGAATGAGTAGAAGAAACAGTGAAATTTACACTGGAGGAAGGACCTGAGAGTGTTACAGCCTTACACAAACAGCTGAAATAGTAAATATCTCTTCACTCGGCTCCCGTGACTCAGGCCTCTCCACACAGGTCCCTGTGACAACGGCCTTCCATCCACTCTCCCAGGAGTGCTTTCACACTGCCTGCCTATTTCTTTCCTCGTTTATGACTCATCTTTGGGGACTGGACTTTCTGGAACTGTGTTGGCACCAGCTCCTGCTCTGGTTCTCTACAGTACGTACATCTCTACAGGATGTCGCCACTAGCAGTTCCTCATGATTCCTGCTCTGATCCTTCCCCACTCTAAGACTCGGCTCTGTCTCAGGAAGCTCAATGCCGGGCTGCTGCCACCTTAGAAACCATCGGCTCCTGGGCTACCGCCTCCGCTTTTCTTCTTCTTGCTGTCGCTGTTTTATCTTCACCAGCTTCTCAAAGCTTTCAGTTGTTGTCGGGCTGACAACAAACCAATCCTGAGTGGACAGTCAATGTGATACCTAACACCACTCTCTGACACAAATTCTTTCTGATGGAGAAGACACTTGTATTTTCCAGCCACAAGCGTTCCCAATGTACAAGAGCCCAGGTGAGCTTTAAGACCAGATGCACTACTGTAGACAGCCTCACAACCCTGGTTAGGACACTGAATGCAATGATATTTTTGATATCTGACTTCTATTTGTGTAGTACTTCTTGGCTGAAGGTCGGTGGCCCAGGACGAGAATATATAACTTCCGATTATCAGGTACCAGATCCTGAAGCACCTTTCTCTTAGGCCATTCCTTGGCCAGTTCAGCAGAAGCCAGTTCCTGCAGGTGGTATACAGCTATCTACCTCTGAACTCGGCCTCTACTCTTTGACTCCAAGAGTCATGTCCTTCAAACACTCTGGCTGTCCTGACTCTGGAAAGAAGGATATAGGACTATGCTCTGACCTCAGGTGATATACGAGTTCAGTCTTCAATCTACAGGGCTTTCCACAGTGGTGACATTTCAGGGTCATCTTCTCCAGCTCAGCAGACCTTTTGCCACATTTTCTCACATGGTATAGATATCCCATGATGCTGGTGAAGCTACTAGAGCAACTCTCAGGTAAGCATCTCAGCTTTCCCAGTTTCTTGAGAACTGTTGAGAGACGTTCCCTCTCACTTGGCTCATCTATTTCATCTCCAGCCTTTAAAATGGGGATGGTATTATGATTTGCCATGACATGATACTTCATCCCTGCTAGTGAATGAAGCTGTTTCCAACAATGATGACAAGTAAACATTTCCTGTTTGCAGTTTCCATGTGTTTCTCTAAGCCGTCTGTGGTCTTTCTCCCCACTACCTGGCAGGTAGGACAGGAGACACTGCCTTTATCCACAATTTCTAAGTACCACTGCTCCTCTAAACTGCCTGCTGCATTAGCTGGTGGTTCCTTCCTAATACAGCAAGTCTGGGCTTTGGGATTAAGGCTGAGCTTTAGATTGCTGCTTCCTCCCATAAAGCAAAGCTTATGCTTCTTCTGAGGAAATTCTCTGATAGTCTTCATCTTCGTCCTGCCTGGGCTTCCTTTTTCCTTTGGTTGATACTCCATCTAACCCTTCTACATGGGAAGCAGCAGCTGACTTGATCCTTCTCATCTTCATCCAGCAGGTAGATTTTCGGAAGGATGCTAGAAAATCACTCACTGGTTCACGAAGCAGATGATGAGCCACTTAAGGAGTCATCGTGAGGGACAGTGTACTGGAAACTATTATCCTTTAAGGAGCACTGCGTTCTGCTATTCTTAGCTTCCATGATCCTCGTGCTTCTCTGCTGCTTAAAGGGCTCCCGGGGTAGCGGGCACTGCACCGAGTCTGGAAGACATCACTCCCTCTCCTCGCCTAACAAATTCACCCAAGGGCTCCAGCCAGACCAATGCCACTTCCGCTCTCCTCTCCACTCCCAGATATGGAGTCGGGGCCACGAGCCCTCTCTGTTTCTTTTGTCCTTCAAGTGTCAATGGCTGTTGTGTTCAAATATTAGCCTGCCAGGTCAAGTCCTGTTTAGTGCTAAAGCAGAAGCACCAAACATTAAATCAGAGCACACTGCTGAAAAACCAGTAGGACCACAAAATTATATCTGAAGCATTTTCTTTTCTAATCCATATGACCTTGAAAGTGAAAGTCGCTCAGCCATGTCCAAGTCTTTGCAACCCCATGGACTATACAGTCCATGGAATTCTCCAGGCCAGAATACTGGAATGGATGGCTTGTTCCTTTCTTCAGGGGATCTTCCCAACCCAGGGATCAAACGCAGGTCTCCTGCATTGCAGGCATATACTTTACCAGCTGATCCACAAGGGAAGCCCCATGTGACCTTAGACAGTGAACAGTGTTCACTGGTGCTCTAATATTAGTAGGCAAGGCAAGCATTAACTAATAATGGAATATTAGACATAAGAAGATATTTGTGACTGTAAAGCAACATAGTTACCTTGATCATATTTAACAAAAAGAAGTTCAGAAAGAGAGAAACCTCATCAAGAATAGGGGCCCACCAAAATATGGAAACAACCTAAGTGTTCATCAACAGATGAATGGATAAAGATGTGGTGTATATATATATATAATGGAATATTGCTGAGCCTTGAAAAAAGAATGAAATAATGCCACTTGCAGCAACATGGATGGACCTTGAGATTATCGTACTAAGTAAATTAAGTCAGAGAAAGACAAATATTAAATTATATCACTTATATGTGGAATCTGAAAAACAGTATACATGAACTTATTTACAAAATGGAAAGACTCACAGACATAGAACACAACTTATGGCTACCAAATGCGAAGGTGCAAGACAGACAAATTAGGAGTATGGGATTAACAGATACACACTACCATATATATATATATATATATACATATATATATATATTAGATAAACAAGGATTTACTATATAGCATAAGAAAATACATTCAATGTCTCATAATAACCTATAGTGAAAAAGAACTGAAAAAAGAATATATAGGTGTGCGTATGTGTGTACACACACTTTACTTACTGTATACCTGAAACTAATACAATATTGTAAACCAACTATATACTTCATTGAGAAAAAAAGAATATTTCTTCCAAGACAACTTTAAATGCCAACTTTCCTTACAGATTTACATCGAAACAATGGAACTTTGTGGAACCTTTAGCCAGAGACAAAGAGAACGTGCAAAAGGTCTCACCACTTTCTGCTAGAGCAGCAGCCACTTCGTTGAGGGTGGAATAGATGTTGCAGGCAGCCCATCGGCACTGTGCTCCCAGAGCTCCCAGAGTTTCCATAAGCACCTGTATTAACGAAAAAGCAGGAGATGAGCAAGCACGGGCCAAACAGCTGGTCAAGGAATTAAATTTATATATTTGACAGTGAGAAAGCACATTAGGAATAACTAACACCAGTGTTATTTTCAACTTGTGCTTTACAGAAACTTCAGCACTTTGAGAATGGGGCAAGGGTTGAGGGTAGGCATGAGGAAGGCTCCCACTGAGCTGTATGCTTTTACTCATTTAACCTATTGTTCCTCTCTACAAGATTCAATTAAACCAAGGATTTCAGAGCCACACATCTTTTTAAAAACCACCAGTTTATAATTCTGCTTCTCTTTAGGAGGTAGAAAGCCGCAAGAGAAGCTTCCACTGTAAAAATAAGAAAAAGCTGCATAATCTACAAAACCGTAACTTTTCTTGATCTATCAAACAGCCGAGCTCAAAAGGCAACCAAGGAACTGCAGAGAGTGGCAAATCCCTTTAGGGAGAGAGGGAACACAGTTTCATCCTTGTCAGAGTGCAGGAGGAAGAGGTAGCTGTCATACAACAGAGTAAGAGAAAACTAACTACAATTTTAATGAATTAGTAAAGACTGAGTGTGGGAAAGTATCAATATGTCAGCTTGGAACATCTGGTGGCCTGAGCCACAATGAGATTTCATACTCATGTGAAAGCTCTTTTCTAGGGGCTTCCAACCAGAGCTCACAAAAGAGACTGGGGGCAGGGAGCTGAGTGCCTGTGCTCAATGAAAAGCATGAAATCTGGGCACTTTCCCAGTCTTCTCTCAGAGGAAGCAAAAGTCCTAAACTGTAGCAAGAAGAGCAGGAATTATGCCTGCCATGAGGAACAAGACAAAGACCCATTGCTTCTGGGGGAGGGTAGAAGCAAAAACTCTCTGCTCCTTGGGAAGTAGCTGAAAACCCTCTTGGGCCCAGGACCTACACTAATAGAAAGTAAAAATCCACTGATTCTCCAGGAGGGACAGGAAAATATCTCTACTCAAGACCTACCAAAGGAGAATCCTGGAACCCACCAAAAAAAGATACCCCATGGCCAGGGACAAAGGAGAAGCCACAACGAGACGGTAGGACGGGCGCAATCACATTAAAATCAAATCCCATACCCACCAGGTGGGCAGCCCACAAACTGGAGAACAATAATACCAAGAAGTTCTGACACTGTCGTAAAGATTTCAGGTGCCACACCAGACTTCCCAATGTGGGGATCTGGCAAAGGGACTGATAATCTCCAGGGAATCTGACTTTGAAGGACAGTGGTATTTGATTATAGATCTACCACAGATACAAGGAAAAATCTGGCTGTTATAGACAAGAGTGGCGGGAACACTGAAAAAGTCCTATCTTCACAGAGGCCGGCCTAAGACTGAGATTGGACCAGAAAACTCTAAGAACCCCAATTGCTCTCACTATGAGCCTAGCTCCAGAAAACAAGGAGCAGCAGTCTTCTGCTGCAAGGGGGACATGCACTTGAAGAGAGAGCCCCCCTGTGGCAAGCATGTGCAGAAGCGGTTGACAGCCTGAGGGTGGAGCAGAAAAACTGAGAGCCCTCTGGCTTGGAGGAATTTGTAGCCTTGGGTACAGAACAGAATTGAAATCCAGACCAGTTCATGACAATACTGGGAACTAACATACTACCATTCAATATAAAAGTTCAAGACACCAAAAAAGTGAAAAAAACCCAACCCATAGTCAGGAAAGAAAGTATTCAAGAGAAGCAGACTCTGAGATAAGCTAATGTTTGATCAGAGAGGAACTTTAAATATGGTTATTATATTTATGTGGAAGCAGTCGAGTGAAACAGATGGATATCCATGAACAGATAGAGAATTTCAGCAAAGAGATGGAAACTATAAAAAACAATTCAAATATAAATGTTACATTTTTTTTAAGGTATCAGATTTAAGAATTTTTTATTAGACTTATCATCAAACTGGGCATATCTAAGGATAGAATCAGTGAACATGAAGATAGATTGATAGAAATCACCAAACTGAAATAGAGAAAGAAAAAAAGAGTGGGAGAAAAATCAGAAGAGAGTATCTAAGATCTATGGGACACCATCAATGGTCTAATTTACATGTAACTGGAGTTCTGGAAGGAGGAGAGAACAGGGCAAAAGATATATATGAAGAGTTAATGGGCAATTATTTTGGAAAATCAATGAAAGAGGATCCAGGAACAATATTATTAACACTCCAGTAGCAAAGAGCACACTAGTGTACAGATCCACTAAAGGAAAAGGAACCAGTGCTCCATGGAGAAGAAGCTGATTCCAGGGATAGGACAGGGAATGTACAAGATGAGCTTAGATCCTCTTGTACCAGAAATAAGGAAGTGCTCAAAGAATGAAAGGGATATGTCAAAAGACAAGGCACAGAAGCAAGATTTAAGGGGTTCCTTCTGGCCAAACTTTCAATGATTTTTATCATAATAAATATAGTAACGGATTATAATCCATTAAGTGAAACAGGAAACAATGACTCCATACAAAAAAAAAAAACCCGAATGAATAAATGGAAAGTTTGATGAAGAATGGGATATTCACACAGTTTCTTATATCTACCTCATAAAATACTTATTAATTACAAAGGGGGAAAAATAACTTTTACAGCTGAAAACTCTGACAGACACCACCTCCATTAAGGGATCAAAATGAACATCAGTCATGGGACAAATTGAGATCAAGTGCCAACTGATAGGATTAAGTGAAAAAAAACCCAAAAAAGGCAGCATCATTTTCTACCAAAGGTACATAAACTGAATCTAATAATGAGGAAGCATCATAAAAGTCTGAATTAAGGACATACTACAGAATAACTTGTCTATAACCTTCAAAGTGTCAAGGTCATGAAAGTCAAACAAAGACTGATCAACTAACTGTCCAGCACTGAAGAAGACTAAAGAGAGATGACAATTAAATGAGACATATAACTAGGGACCAGATCCTCTGGTTATAAAAAGTATTTGGACAATTAGTGAAGCTCAAATGGGACCTGAGGATTAGACAGGAATTATGAATCAGTGTTAATTTCCTAATTTTGAATGGTTGTATTCGTTGTATAGGAGAATGTCCTTGTTTATAGAAAATACACACTAAAGTCTTTGTGGAAGCACCATCAGGTTGGAAACTTACTCTCAAATGGTTCAGAAAATAAAAAATTATCTGGTACTGTATTTGTAACTTTTCTATGTTTATTTCAAATTAAAAAAAATTATTATAATAAATTTAATCCACTGATTTAATCCTGACTTACCTTCACGTCAATCAGTAAGATGGAGACAGGCAGACAGGCTTCTTTTTAAGAAGGTAGTGTATTGCTTTGATTAAGAGTTATTTCAACAAGGACAAAGCTTTGGTGAAAAAGTTTTAAAATTTCCTGATGGTGGTTAACTTTGGGTATTGCTAATTTTCATTTAAAAAAATTTGTATTTTCTAATATTTATATACTAAATTAAAACTCTAATTAGAAATATGCTCTAATTAAAAAAGAACACTTGCAAACAGCTCCATTAATGTAGGCGAACCTCCTCAAATTATCCTTGGATAATTTATCCAAGGTCATATAGTAAGTTAATAGCAGAACTAGTCTAATGTCTTAATTTCCTTACCTTTCAATATCTGATCCCATTTTTTTCCCTCCTGTTTTGCTTTTCACCTTAAAGAATTTCTGAATTCCTTTAACTAGGATTTCTGAATGTGTCAAACAAAAGAATCATACTGAAACTTACCTACAAAGCCATATAAATTAACTAGAAAAGTGACTGGGACCAAGAATACAAGAACTATTTAAAGAACTATGAGTCAAGACTGCTTGCTGGCTATCAGGGCTCAAGCAGAAATGCAGGCAGGTGGAAGTGAGAGGGGGACAGAGCTTAGAAGCTGGTTTAACTTGACTTTAAATCATTACTGTTCAGAAAGAGTAGCTAAGAAATCTGATTGAAAAGAACTATGGAAACACACCTAAAAAATATAAGTAGATCCGAGTCTTAATGAAACATGGACAGGAAACTGTTAACTATGATAGTTACTTCTGGAGCACAGGATTATAGGAGACTGTCTTTCTACATTATAGATTGTGGTAATGCTTGAACGGGCTTCCCCAGTGGCTCAGTGGTAAAGAATCCACCTGCAATGCAGGAGCCACAGGAGACATGGGTTCCATCCCTGGGAGGGGAAGATGCCCTGGAGAAAGGCATGGCAACCCACTCCAGTGTTCTTGCCTGGAGAATCCCCATGGACGAGGAGCCTGGCGGGCAACAGTCACAAGTTGGACATGACTGAAGTGACTTAACACACACACAATGCTTGAATATTGTAAAATGAACATGAACTATCTTAGTAATCAGAAAAAATAAAGAGATTAGAAATAAAACAAAGCAAAATTCCTTTGTAATTTTTTTAAAGGATAATGAAAAATGTGGTGAGGGAACAAGAAAATAATAAAATTGGTAAACTAATTTTGATTACTCCATTCAGGAAAAAAAAAATAACCTTGAAAATATTCAGGTTGGTAATATTGTTGGTAATATTCAGTGAGCCAGGGGGTAAAAAAGAAACTAGTTGTAATTTAGCAACATGAGACAGGACAGAAGCACTTACTATTTTAAGTCACTACACTGAAGTCGCATGTCCCTGACCAGGGAAGCCCAAAAAAGTTTCCAAGATGGTTTCTGCCTTGATTTATCAGTCTACAGCTCCAAAAAGAGTAGCTTTTCAATTTATTATACTAATTTTGGGTCACCAAGGTACTCTTCCTCAGAGAACATGTAACCCAGAAAAGTCTCATAGGGAAGATGCTAACAGCAGCTGTCGGTGTCTTGAGGAATCTCTGCTGTTCTTAATAAGTAATGTGAATATATAAGTGTTGCACTTAGGAGATAATCTTCGGAAGTTAATCTAGCCATATAAGTGATCTGGATCTTATAAATCCTATAAAAGATTCCAGACAACTTCTCAATACACTAATTTCCTGTAGTGGTCTTATTAGGGTAGGCAACTTAATATGTATTACAGCTTTGATGATGACTCTAGGTCAGTGGTTCTCAACAAAGCAACTCTGGTGTACCATGGGGGCATTCTTGGCTGCCACAATAACTGGCAGGGGAGGCTTACTGACATTTAGTGGGTACGGCCAAGGATCTTGACATTCTGAAAGTGTAGAACAGGGACTTCCCTGGTGGTCCAGGGTCTAAGACTCCATGCTCCTGATGCAGGGGGCCAGGGTTGGATCCCTGGTCAAGGAACTAGATCCCACATGCTACAACTAAAGATCCCACGTGCCATAACTAAGACCCCTTGCAACCAAATAAATAAATAAATATTTTTTAAAAAAGAAAAGAAAGTATCAGTCTCCTAGAGGAAAAAACAAAAACAAAAACCCATGCCATATCTGGTACACCTTTCAAATGTGCCAATGAAAAGTTCACATGAGTGAGAAATCTATTTATAATGATCTGCGTTTAGAACTTTATTCCACTTTACATATCAACAAAAGTATGGTTGTAGTTTTAATACAAGAATGCAAGAGTTTTCCCAAGCCTGCAACATATGTAAAAATCAAGAGAAAACACATACTTTTTATTGTTGCTGTTATTCAGAAATTTTACAAAAAGTTGTTTATAATTTCAGAAAATTATATAATCTGGCAATATTGCTCTGATACTCTGGAACCAGCAACACATTTCTACTACATACATTTATATTACTCATTCAAATAATGCTATAAGTACAAATATCTGACTATACTTGTACCCAAGCACTTACACACTGAAATATATGATATTTTACTGTTACTTTCTTTTTATGCTTCTTTCATATTTCAGTAAGATTTTACATTTATTTTTTAAAATTACATGTACTTAGCTATGTTATGTCTGAATTTCATTTCAAGAAATATGGGGGCACTGCAAGCTATTTTTTTTTAATGAAAAGGGGTTCACTGAATCTGATAAAGGTAAAAATTATGGATCTAAACCCATCATGGTAACCCCAGTTCCCTGCCAGGACTGGTGGGGCATGAGCATGTGATCCAGTTCTGCTTAATGACATGACAGAGTGTTCTGGAGGACTTCTGGGAGAGGTTTCCTTGCTCTCGGGAGAGAGGAAGAAATGGTCTTTCTTCCTCTTCGTGTCCATCTGGGATGGCTTGAAGAGTTGTCACCATCTTGCTATCGGCCTGAGGATGAAGTGAACACAGAGAGAAGGCAGCTCCAGAAGAATCACAGACAGGTAAAGCGAGCCCTGGGAGCCTTCCCCTGAAGCCCCCCTTGCTGCTGGACTTCCAGCTTTGTAATGTATTGAGTCCCTTTATGCATAATCCAGGTTGAATCAGGTTTTCTCTTATTTGCAGCTGAAAGGAATCTACACAGAGATGCCGGCTAGAAATGACACTGGAAGGGAAGGCAGGGGCAGGCAGTAGAGAATAGTGGAGAAAGAATAAGTTTGGGAATCAAATATGTTGAAGTTTAAATCTTGATTCTGTGGTTTACTAGCTGTATAATGTTGGATAAATTACTTCAACTCCCTGAGCCTCAGCTTCCTCATTTATAAAATGGAAACAGGAATATGTGCTTTTAGAAGGCCATTATGAGGGTTAATGAACTAACACTCATTAAGCTTTTAACCTAATGCTTGGCATGGTGCAAGCCCTCAATAGCTGGTGGCTATTATTAACTACTGTTATGTGGAGAAAGGAAAAGGACTCACAGCAGTCTGAGCAGTGATGTGTGTGCAACCCACAATCTTGGCTCCGGCCAAAGGTTTCTCTCCTTGAGCTCTCTTCCGCAAAGCCATCAGTGCTGGCATTTCTGAAAAGGGCCAATACATACACAGCAATATTAGAGGGGGGGATGAGAGGCAAAGAATAAACAAAAAAACAGGTACTCTCTTAAGATAAGACCCTTCCTGATCAGGTTCTCTGTTATACTAGTTTTAGGTTTCTCAAAGGATCAAGACGCTGATTTTTCTGTTATAAGGGATTTTCAGAGGTAAGTACTCCAGCGTTTGATTCCTGTATCTCAGTCCCCTCATCTAGTCTCTCTCCCCTCTTCTTTATACGGAGGTTCCTTGTAGACCCACTAGAGTTTACTCCCTCTCCACAGTGTTTTCTTAACTCATCTCTCTTTTGTTATAAGTTTCCTTCAAAATCACACTGAAATTTCACAAACTACTAGACCCCAGGATGTAAAAGGGAATTAACATAAACAAAAAGACACAGGCAACTCAAAAAGAAGAAGGCAGTTGCTTTCATTACCTTGTTCAGCAATTTCAATTTCTCTTCGTCCAAACTCTGCCTGTTTGATGTTCTTGACACAGAAGTCACTGTTCCCCTTAGAGTTCTTTTGTTGTTTGTCTCTAGGAGAGGTCTCATCATCAGAGCTATCTGTATATGAAGCCGCTGGAGAGACAGGATAAAATACCTTCAGGGGAAAAAATGGCTTCCTCCATAACCCCAAACCATGGAGTGAACTGAGGTTCTTTTGCAATTAGCACCTTGTAAATGTATGTGTTTGGGAAGCACTTAAGTGGCACTGAGGAACTGAACTGTCTCAGTCATCACCTGTCCAGTCATCACCTGTGGAAAGTGCTATCCACAGGTCAGAAAAGGAAGCTGAGAGAGGTTGCCAAAGATATTCCCCCTGGGTAGCATTAACTTAAACTCTAGGGCTAACTTTATCTTCAGAACGTGCACAGGTCCTTGAAAATGAAGAAAGAGGCTATTCCATGGTAGCAATATGTTCAAAGTCTTAATTCAAGATCATGGTGATTAACCTATGGGTTTATGGGATCCTAGCTACCCTTCTCTGTTTGCTGCCTAAACACTGACGTAATTTGTGTTTTAGTACAGTAGCTGAACAGCTAAGACCTAGAAAACAAGGAGCCCATGAGAAAATAATTAAGAACCACACAAAAAGTGCTTGTCTGACAAAACAGAGCTTTCTTTTTAAAGACTGGCTCTGATGAGTCTGAACTATGCCTGTAGACCCAATTAGACATTGACAATGAAGTATTCAGTGTGCTCTCCCTTCTTGCTGGCCTTAGTGGGTCCAGCATTGGGCATTTGAGATTCCCAAAGAAGCAGATGAATCCTCCTTCGGTATAATTAAATGCTCTAATGACTACGCCATTTAGCAATATACACTAGAGGGTGGAAGGTCTAAGACTTCTGACTGTGGCTAACAGGCAGCTATCGCTCTTCCCATGTTTGAGGTCTTTTTAGTCTTCATAGAATTCTGTAGTTACTAATCATTGGCTGGATGATTTGAAGTAATTTCTTTCTTTGATTTACATTTAAGTTCCTGAGGATTGTTTCTTCCTAAGTAGTCCTCAAGGTTTTGGGGTGGGGAGACATAAAGCACTGTCTATATAATATAAAGCATTACATATTTCTCAATGAGATAAGAAGTACTTCTTTCACTTTTATGGGGAGAAAGCTGCAAAAGTTCAGAGCTCCTAGGGTTGCCTGATCTGCTTATATCCAGAGAATTATGGCATTTCTGGGATTTCTTATCAAAGGGTCTATCTCTGGGAGGGCTGGAAAAGGCAAGTCTGACCTTGTCCAGTTAATCAAGCATGGTGCTACATAATGTTTGGGCAGCAGGGACCCAAGTGTCTCTCTTGGAGCTGGAAAACTTCCCTAGAGCAAAATCCTAACACAAAGCAATAGGCACCAGGGGAGGTGAGGGAATTAGTAAATCCCCAAAGGGATTTTTGTTCTTGAAAGAAGCTAATCTGTAGACAAAGTCTATGGTTCTCCCTCCTAGGGAGTAAGAGCTCAAAGTACCTTTGGCAACAAAGCCCAGAAACAGTGTCCTGGGCAGTCATCTGTTTCACCAATCAATACTCAGAAATGGCTTATGAGTTAGAAGCTTAAGGGAACCAGGCTTCTGACCTCTGAGAGAAGAAAGATAAATATAGCCATCCTAATCCTGATCCAAGTGTATAGAAGAGTTGCTTTTGAAAGAAAGTGTCCACATTCACAATATCCTGAAATGTCAAATCCTTTTCCAGAGCCATGATGATTTTATGCTCTTTATTTGTTCTGGAGTCAGAGAGACTTTGCTCTGGTTCTGGGTATATAAAGCAGAGGTGATAACAGAATCTGGTGTCTAATTCATTCATGTATTCAGTCACTCACTGACTCAATTTTTATTGTGCATCTACTGTGTCTCCACAGTCTAAGTGCTGGAGATACAAGATGGATATGGATTGTCTTTGCCTTCACAGGGTTTTCAGTCTAGTAGGTGAGTCAGACATGAAATAACTAATTACAGAATTAATTAGAGTTCTTTCCACATGGTTGTAATATGTGCTATGAAAAAGATTATATAATAGGCAGACATGATTTGTCAGAGTCAAGTTGTTGAGAAGATTAAATAAAATAATATAAATAAAGTGCCTACTGCAATATTTGGCATAAAGTAATTAAGCATGCAGTCAATGATACTTGATATTATTACTGGCTTTTGTACATATTTTTAAAGCACTAGTTCTCTAGTGCGTGCATGATCAGTTGTGTCTGGCTCTTTGTAATACCATGGACTTCTCTGCCAGGCTTCTCTGTCCATGAATTTTCCAGGCAAGAATACTGAGTGGGTTGCCATTTCCTACTCCAGGGATCTTCCTGACCCAGAGATCAAACTGGAATCTCTTGTGCCTCCTGCACTGGCAGGTGGCTTTTTTATGCTTTTATTCACTAACAAATATAAAATCTTTCAGGGTTCTTACTTAGCTTTAGGGTTTTGAATGGGAAAGGAATGACATATATACAATATTATTTAGCAGTTTCTTTTTTTCTACCTCCATCATCTATCAGCTTACCCAAGCAGCAGGTGGGTGGCTGGCAGTGATGATAGAGGTTGAGAGTGGAGTCCTACTCTATCCAGAATAGCTCTCCTCTCCTTTGCCTCTTCAGCTTTTAAGGATAAGGTGGGAAAAGCCAACCAAACAGCAACAAAACCTCCAAAATTCTCCTTTCAGAGAAGTACTCAAATTTTTGGCTTAAGTTGTTTTCTTCCAACTCAAAGAAAAAAATTATTATACCATTTCCCTTTTCTAAAAGAAAAAAAAAATGGTATTTTCTTTTCTTAACAGTTGTCAACCGGTTATAGTTAGTTCAATCACTGTTTTTCTTTGAGCCAAAATGGATTTGTTTTCAAAGAGCCCTTTATACAGATCTTTATTGTCTAGACTGTACTAGACAGACCTGGCTGACAGACCTGGACTCAGAGAGGGTTATTTTTGCAAACACAGTGGAGAGATTATTCCTGAACTAGCATAACATTTATTTTTTGAATTTATAACTCATTTCTGCCAATGTATTTAAAGTAGCATATTCATGAAAATAGTTGAGATAGCATTCAAAATTCTTCCTAGGAAAATTTATAGAAATTCAACACACATGTACACACATGCTTAAACAGTTTCTAAAGCATTTGTAATTGTCACACACTCCGAAGCCCAGTGTCATAATTTAATTAAAAATGAACAACTGATAAGATAACAACCTAGTGAAGTACAGGTCTGAGACCTAAGCTTTTACTTCACTTCTAATTGGTTAAGTGACCAATTTTCAATTTATCCAACCACAAAATAGGAGGTATAACACATCCTCTCTCTCTCCCATGCTCTCCCCTTTCCCTAATTCCCATCAGAGGAATCTTATGAATAAATGAGATAATCACAAAAGAAGGGTCCAGTTTCTAGCTGGAAAAGTAATACAAAGTACAAAATAACTTTATCATGAGATGTTCTGTTTCATGATATCTCAGGACCAAAACATAACTTGGTGAATCACTCATCCACAACTGACCCCACGGAACATGCATATATATGTTCTATGGCTCAGACTGATTAAGCCTTTCCTCTCAGCAGCTGTAATATTGTGGGTTATTGCCAAGAGAAGAAGAGACTCCTGGTCGAATTAGTCCTATTAGACTATTTTAAATCAGGCAAGTTCCTCCTGGGTCCAGTCTAGTCACTTTGTAATTGAATAATAGCAATGACCTGTGTGTCAATGTGCTGCAGATTTCACTGATGAATAACTTCAGAAATATGTGAAAAGCCAGGTTAGCAACCAAAATACAGAGCAACAAAACTTTGTTATTTGGAAAAAATCTGAAAATACTTCATGCTTTAGAAGAACCAGTTACTATGAACTAAGGAACTTTAGTCCTCTTTCCTTATCCTTAACCAATTAACTCACTGCAAAGACAGCTTTTTCAGAAATATATCACCAAGAATCATTTGACTTTCCAGAAAAGTCGCTTCTATTCATTTTTTTAAAAGGGTTTTGCGCTTACAGAAAGTTTTAGAAGTCGTTTTTTTATAAAATAATTTCAACATGGGTTCCACTAGAATTAAGCCCTACTGTCTCGAAGCATCCATTGAATATATGGATAAACTTCTCTCCTATACATCTAGAAGGGAGTTAGTTATGAACCATCCTTTTCTATGTTCTACACTTCACAGGAGGAACCCAGTTAAAAAAGGCTGGAAGGCGTTCCTAAATAAAACTTAATATTAGGATCATTAGGAAGGGAGAGTGGGCCACAGCCTTAGTAAGACTTAAAGTATCTTCAGCAAAACAAGCACTTTGGATAGGAAGGTACCTTTTTTTGAAATGTCATAAAATTTCTTCTAACTTTTCACATACATGGAGGTTACCAGAGGTCTATTTCCTTTACAGGGATGTCAAGTAGTATAATAAAAATGTCTCTGGACACCCTTCCCCAGTATTTATTTGTTGAGCACCTCTCATGTGTCAAACACAGTTCTAAGCAGTGGGAAGAGAACAACACAAAAGAGAGAAAAATCTCTGCTCTCATGGATCTCATATTCAAGTAAGGGAAGAAAGACACAATAAATTATATGTTATATGATAATAAGTGCTATGGAGAAAAACAGAGAAGGAAAATTTGATGACAGGGAGTACTGGGTGGGGTGACTATACAATTTTAAAAGAGTAGCCAGGATAGGCTTCAATAAGAAGGTGATTTTTGATTAACAACTGAAGGAGGCAAGATATACAGTGAGGGTATTTTAGAGCATTCCAGGGAGAGAAAATAGTAAGTGCAAAGGACTTAAGGCAGGAGAGTAGTACCCGACATAACAAAATAACAGTTTCAAAATAACAGGATAGCACAACTGGAGTGAAAAAATAGTTGGGGGAGGAGGGAAATTTGGAAAATTAGAGATGTGATTAGAAATATAATGTGAGAGTGGATGGTATAGGGCGTTGTAGGCCACTGTAAGAACTTTAGCCCTTTACTTAAGAGTGAGACTGGAAAGCGATTGGAAAGTTTTGAGCTAAGAAGTGATACGACCTGACTTATTTTTTTAAAAATGAATCTGGCTGCAGCATTAAGAACAGACTGAAGAGGGGCAAGGCTGGAACTCAGCAATTCAGTTTTTAGGACATGGGAAGATTGAGATACCTGTAAAACATCCAAGTGAAAGGACTGAACAGGTATTTGAATATGTGGGGCTAGTGTGCAGAGAAGAGAGTTGGGCTAGAGACAAAATTTGAGAATCAAACACCAGTATGTGCTATTTAAAACTATGAGACTGAATGAGTTCACCTGAGAAGAAATAAACAGAGAAGGGAAGAAGGCTAAGGATTAATCTTTGGGGCTTTAACTATGTTAGTTTCTATAGTCAATTAAATTATAACATATGCTGAAAATGGGTTCCAAGTTCTTATTGACATGCACTTGCATATCTTCTCATATTTAGAAAGCAGTTGAGTAATTCTGTTATTCCTGGCTTTTCATTTGATGAGTATGAAGCTTTTTCTGTATCACTTCATTTAACTTTCCCAATGCCTCTGCTACAAGCATTGCAGGCGTCAAGAGTTTTCCCAGATCACACAACAAATCACATTGATCAAAGCCTAGAAACTAGGTCTGTCCTAACTCCCAGTCCAAGACTCAAGGCAATAGGCAGCCCCATCCATAGTTTGTTTAAAAGGGTTTGACAATTGCTCATGTGGAAACAAGACAAGGTAACAGTGTGTGTGTGTGACACAGCTGCAAAAAAAAAGGAAACATAATCTTAGGCTTCACTCTAAAAGCACTGAGTTTATGGAAATAACACCTATTATAGATTATTTTGGACCAAATCTAGAATATTATATTCATGGGCATGTATTTACAATTTACATTTTCACAATTATTACGATTTCCAGAGTTTTATTAACTAGGTCATGAATTTTCAACAGCTGTTGAAAATTATTTAATTTATTTTATTATTTATCATTCTGCTGGTTCTTTCAGCAGAATAAAATAGTTACAAAATTCAGTAATCCCTAGAGATTTACATTCTGTGCTTTATATTATTCAGTTATGTGGGGAGAAATAAAAAAAGAAATGCTAATATTAAGAGTGTAAATAACAATTTACTCAATCTAAAAGTTACAGCGTCTCAAACAAGCTTTCTTCAGCTTTACAAATACTACTTTCCTATTTGTGTGCAAAACAAAATTTTAGGTCACGATGAAAATTTTCTAATGAATATTACTATTTATAATGTGAAGAGGTAACTAGGACAAACATTGAGCTTCCTACCACATTCCTACATAAGAGCAAAATAAAATAGCTCCAGATTAGATCAGACACATACTAGGCACTGCTGCACAAATGGTTACTGCTGACAAGGGATTCACAAATTAATACTCATCTGGCATTAAATGGTAACTCATGCCTAGGACCCATGTATTGGAATTAACTCACTGCCAAGGAAGGAAGGAGTAACAAACAATACAATATCACAGCTTAGAAGAGAAAGTGAAGGGCTCACTTGAACTAGCTACAGTGATTTCACTGTTTCTCAGGGCATTTAAGATTTCCCAGTTGGAAGGATGAAGAAGCCCTCTTTCATTTTCAAACAGTAGAAAAAACACAAGTGTTCACACATGCTGCTCAGTGAAGGTCAAGGGTGAGCAACACATCCTCACCCTCTGAATAAATCAGATTCAGTTTCCTTAATCACCTTCTTCTGTCGTAACTGGAAGAGCATGGCTCTATTAAGCTCCACTATGAATCCCCAAGAGAAACCTAAAGATTCCACCTAGAATTTTGGTCTAAATTTCAACTGAAAATCAAAGTGTTTATGCCAGAGCACAGGCTTTGATTGTGCTTAATTAGCCTTAGATAGACAGGAGGGTCCATTGATTATACTTAACTAGCCTCCACAGGTGGGTCTAGAGTAGTTCAGTCCTCACCTGAGCTGTAGCTGTCAGTTGATGACTGGGAAATCGAGCGAGACAGAGAGCGACGTCCAATTTTCGTGGGACGTTTATTGAATTCTTGCTTCTGGTCAGCAAATTGGATCTGCTAAGAAAAAGAACTCTAGTTACATAAAGGAAAAGAACATCCATTTTGAGATAGCAAATCAATGCTTGCATTATAGATCTTACCTTCCCTCACAGCTGATCTGTTTGTACTGACCCACATATGGAATCTTGAGAGTCGTTGGAGAAAATGATTTTTCATTCTTCTCTGTTTCTATCAAGTTTAAATCCTTGAAACACTCTCTGACTATGTATCTTTTGCAATAAAAGGGAGAATGGGATATTCTGACTAAAATAAATGGTTAGAAAGTTGAGTCATACTCAGCAATCCTATCTATAGTTTCACTGAAAATTATAGCTGGAAAGAATCTTTGAGACTATCTATTCCAATCTTCAGGCTTCCCAGGTGGCCCAGCAGATAGAATCTGCCTGCCAAGCTTGAGATGCCAGAAACCTGGGTTCAATCTCTGGGTAGGGAAGATCTCCTGGAGTAGGAAATGGCAACCCCCTCCAGTATTCTTGCCTGGAGAATCCCATGTATGGACACAGGAGCCTGGCGGTCTACAGTCCATGGGGCTGCAAAGAGTAGGACACAACTGAAGCTACTGAGCACGGACACACACATTCCAACCTTTTAACATACGAAACTATAAGATTAAGAAAGGTAAAGTGACCTGCCTTAAGATTCTCAGGAAATAGTATAGTATAATGAAAAAAAAAAAAAAAAGCTTTTTATTCATACAGACTGTTCTGGAACTATAGTCAAACCCTGGTTATGCCACTCATTAGCTGTGTGATGTTCATCAAGATGTTTTGTGACCCCCATTCTTCTCATAAACACAACAAAGATGAAAGTATTTCAAAAGTTTTAGAGAGGGTTATACAAAACAATGTATGTAAACTGTGAAACTCAGCAGGAGATTCAATTCATCCCTGGCTCCCCAACTCCCATCCCTACAAATTTTCTGTCCTCTGAACTCTTGCAGGTAGTCACTTTAGTTTTTCAAAGGCTTTCTAAAATGTATCAATTAGCTTTTCAGTACTAATAAGTATAGTAAACATTAATTATTTTTAATGTTTGGTATCAATAAACTAAAAGCTACAAGGTAGATAACTTATTAACTATAACAGATGTAGGAGTAGATAACTAGACTGAATATGTATAAACCTCAATACTCCAGAGGTTGCATTTTGGACAATATCTGATAATGACTTTCTTGCAATTTTATCTCTTTCTCCTACTGTTGGAAGTTTCAGCTGATACTTTATAACACTTGACAAGTCAAAGTTAGTATCATTAAGCAAATATCTTTCTTTTTTCTATTTCCCTAATTGAATGTTTGCATAATTGCTTAGATTATTCTGGATCCAACTGGCATAGAGGTGGGGAAAATCAAAGATCTGCCAACTGATTCTGCCTTTCCTGATAAAAAAAGATGGTTGCTTACATGAAAGCAACAACTCTTGGCTACATTTCCTACAGTGAGAGGTAACTATTGAGTCATTTGAGTATTCACACTGATGCCAAATCAATTAGCATGCCTTTTAGGGGAATTCATAGCACTGTCATAGCTATTGTTCAGTCATTCAGTGGTCTTCAACTCTTTGGACTGCAGCACGCCAGGCTTCCCTGTCCTTCATCATCTCCTGAAGCTCTTCATAGCTTTAACAACCAATAAAGCCTGCATAGTACTTTAGAGTTTGCCAATTGTTTACAGCAACAGGAAAATTCACCAGGTTAGAAGCATTTCTCAAAATGAAAAACAGCAAAATTAATTATTTTACTAAAATAGAAATTTATTCCAAAAAAAGAAAGAGCCTGTTCTGTGCACCCCCATGGAATGTACATGAACTCCATATATTTCTCTCACTGTACCAACCAGGCTCCATAAAGGCAGGAGCTATGTATATTACTCACCCTTATATTCTCAGACACAACCCCTGACGTAACAGTCAACCTTGTGTCAAAACAATGAATCTTACCCTATCTTCACAGTCTGTACTTGACTGAATATTAAGTAACCATAAATCAAGTCTAAAGTTAAAAGAATTTTTAAGGGGAAAACAAAAGTCAGGAAGGGGAGGAACGTGAGTAAGAAGATGAGGATGGGAGTAGCAGTCAAGCTCAAAACCCTGGCTTCCATTTCACCAACCTTGTTCAAGACAATGATATAACTTTAGTCTTTTTTAAAAGCCCATCTAGGAAAATGAGTCGTCATTGACTTTCCAAAGGCCACGATGAGTCATTAATTTCAGCAGAGCCTACTTTTAAAAAAGCGGAACAGACCCTGCCCTAGATATATACCACCCCTCCCACCCACACACCACTAGAGGGGGCCACTCTACTTCTCTAGGATTCTCTCCTTTCTAGGATTGGAGAGGGTGGGCACACATCCATTTGTTGTTTAGTCACTAAGTAATGTCCAAGTCTTTGTGACCCTATGGACTGTAGCCTGCCAGGCTCCTCTGTCCATGGGATTTCCCAGGCAAGAATACTGGAGTAGGTTGCCATTTCCTATTCCAAGGGATCTTCCTGACCCAGGGATTGAACCCGAGTCTCTTGTGTCTCCAGCACTGGCAGGCAGAGTCTTACCGAAAAGCCTTCAGAGAAGCCACACACTCATTTACCCCAACAACATAGCCATCCAGCTGCACCATCATCTTAAACCAGTTTCCTTAAACTGAGTTCTCTCCTCTATTAAGCTCCTCACTATTTACATTACTTCCTCCCACCTAGGTCACGTTTCAGTGTTTTGTTTTTTTTTTTTTTTGGCCACGCTTTGCATGGGGTCTTAATTCCCTGATCAGTGATGGAAACTGTGCACCCTGAAGTGGAAGTGCAGGCTCTAAGCCCTGGCCCACAAGAGAATTCTTGAGTTTAGGCTATTTTTTGGCACTAAACATTAAGCTATGTAGGCTTTCTCCACTTAGAGACATAGGGTTCTAAATCTTATTACTTGTCAGACACTGACCTCAAGTTTCTTTAAGACAGAAGAATATTAGAAAGAAGCTAACCACTTATATAGAATAAGCTATATAATTTCCTCAAGAAATAAGTGCTTATCTTTTACTGACAACCCACCATCCCTGGTGCCACCTCCCATCAGTAGTTAAAGTGCCGTTACGTTTTTCACTCTTACTTGTAATACAGTAATCTCCCCACCCCAGTTGGGGTACCCTGGTAGATTCTACCCCTAACTCTTCTACCTTAACTGAAATCAAAAAGTCCTTTACGGGACCTCTCCTTATCTGTTTCAGAGAAGACTGACTAATTCCAACAGGCTTCAAGGCAAGGAAGGGAAAGATATTGTAGAGGAGCAGCTCACCTTATGCAGAAGAAGGGACGAAAGCAGGAAAGAAGGGGAAAAGCAACTGGCCTTTTACAATAGTAAAAGCAAGCAGCAAGACTGATAAATAAGAACTTAGCCTCACCTGGGCTTTAATCCCAGAGTTGCCATTGACAATGTATTTCTTCTTGCTGCTCAGCATAATGACATTACCAGCCCTACAGCCACCTCTTCAGTCCAGGGACACTTGTGGCTAGGCCTTTAAACTTTCCTCATCAGCAATTCTGTTGGTTCTGGTTCCAGCTAGTTTTGTATGTGTGTGCGTGCGTGGTGGTGGTGGTGAAGGGGGGGGGGGGTGCCTTCCCTGGAAACCCTGAAGCAGCTCCAACAACCCCTCCAGCAGTAGAGCCCAATTTAATAAGGCATTTCTGTTAGTGGTTCATCAGCCATTCCTAATTCTGGTGGCTGTTTTGCTTTTATTATTTTTTTCCCCTAAACACCTAATTACACGGATCCTCTGACCTCTAAACCTTAACAAGTCCCTTGACAAGGCCCAACTTGCAAGCGCATAACAATAGCTTATTTATATAACTGGTGCACTTTTTTTGCCTGCTATAATTAACTTGCTAATTAGGTTCCTTTTTAACCTTACCTCCTCCTTTTCCAAGTCAGATGACTTTAGTTAACCTAGTCTCATTAGAAAAAAATTAACTGCAGAGTCACTAAAGCAATGAGGAATTTATAAAAACGTTAAGAAAGAAAAAATGGAGCCAAGTACTCAAGCAGGCCCTAACCTACACTCTGGGTCCTTGTGTTAGACTAGGGGCACTGGTTTCAGGTCTGTTACCAGGAAAATCAGCTTCCTCAGACCAGTGCTTTACTCTTAACTGTGTACCTTTTTATGGAGGTTTTGACACCTGGTTTCTAGTCCCATCTGAGGATCGTTGCTGATTAAGTGTCCAGTGATCTGCTTGCCTTTTTCAAAAACTGTTTCGTGGAAGGTGCAACTACAATAGGGAATTTCCTATTTCCTCGGAGCCCCCAGGGTCATAGCGACCTTGTTACATATCAAATAGCCAAATGAAGGGGTGGCCCTTCTAGGTCACAGAGCGATATAAACAGAGCAGAGGGAACAGGGAACTGCCAGGAGCCCAGGATGACAAAGAACCAAGTACACGTATACAGGGAGTTAGAAGTGGTGGGCATGTAGTTGAAGAAAATACAAGAGCTAGTTTGTGGAGACTTTTGCTGCTGCTGCTGCTAAGTCACTTCAGTCGTGTCCGACTCTGTGCGACCCCACAGACGGCAGCCCACCAGGCTCCCCCGTCCCTGGGATTCTCCAGGCAAGAGCACTGGAGTGGGTTGCCATTTCCTTCTCCAATGCATAAAAGTGAAAAGTGAAAATTGAAAGTGAAGTTGCTCAGTCGTGTCTGACTCTTCACGACCCCATGGACTGCAGCCTACCAGGCTCCTCTGTCCATGGGATTTTCCAGGCAAGAGTACTGGAGTGGGGTGCCATTGCCTTCTCCGGTGGAGACTTTTATGCCACAATAAATCCGATAACTTTACAATTCATAAAAATATTCCACAGAAGATATAAAGCAAAATCATGCACAAAAGCGACTCCCAATTAGTCATGAAAAGATGCTATGGGCTAATGCATATGAGTGACCAGTGTGCAGACAGGAGCTGGAGAGGTATAGTCCTGGGAAGGCAGATGGACCAGATGAGTAGGGTAGGAGAACAAACCATTGAC